TATCTAACTTAAAACTTCATATTTATTAACATTTGAGTTTAGGCTACGGTAGTATTCCGTGGGTTGCATGGATTCATATTTATGAATAAAATAATATAAATCCAATTCATAATTTTTTCACATATATCTAATATTAAGTAATTAACTAACAATCGGTGGTTATTTATTTTATGCACGATGCATGTTCTATGCAGATCATACGTACTATACTTTGTGAACAGAGAATATACATGGTGTATATCAAACATGTGTGTTCTATACATCCCATCTATATGGACCAGCCAATTATTCGATTCATAATAGACATGAATTAATAAACCACTTATAGCCTAGCTTGCGTTAGAGTATATACTGCTCTGTTCCCTTATTTCCCCCCTGTGATAATTGATGTTACACAAAATTACTTCTGTAATTGTTCTCTTGGTTACCATCTCCGACATAATTTACATTACAATACTTTGTCCTTTCAGTTTGGTGGGTTATTATTTGGAGTATTCTCCAGAAATCAGTAATTTATTTTAGCGCACTCTGTTGGTACCTTTTGACTTGGCTAATTTTTCTTCTAAACTAGCTGGAAATTAAAATGGGGTTGAAATATATAGTTCTATCTAATCAAATGTTGTACGAAAATCATGAATACCTCACATGTTATATCCAGATTGCGTATGATTATAGCAGACCCTGTATATACTGTATGCCGCATGTGTTGTATGCGCACCATATAATGCTGTGTCTTAACTAAACACAATTATCGGCATTGAAAGAGATATCTCAGTTGAAAGTATCGTCTTAATTGAGAGCTCATTTCAGCGTCGTTATCTAAATTGAAACAATTATCTTCGTCGATCACATTATTCATAAATTATCAAATTGATGGCGTAATCAATTTTCAATTCCATAAAATGTAGTAAAATATGGTAGAAGGAAAGATTGGGAAGCGGAAAATTAGACTGGTGAAACCTAAGAGGGAACCTGCTACCACTAGTGTAAGTATTGTTTATGTGTGTGTTGTTTGACAGCAATGTTTAGAATACCAAAGGGGCCACTGTCGCCGGTATCAATGCCGTTTGAGTTATGGATTTATGCTTCATTTTCGAGTTTTCTGGAAAGCGATGTAAGTTCGTACGTATAATTGTATGCGTAATACGTTATCAACTTATTTTTTAATTCCTTTTAACTACGTTGGAAAATTATGTGCTGCATTGCATGGTATACATATTTTTGTTAATATCTTTCCGAGAATGAAAGTTATATAACGTTAAAGTTTAAAACGTCTTTAAAACACAATTTTAGACAGATATTACCTTACTTCTACTATTTTACTTCTCTGTACCTCTTCACAACGATCCACACTACAAATGAAACTTAATATTTTTAGTCTTGTGTGCTTATTTTCGACTTCAATAATGTTCTAAATAAGTTATAAATTGTTTATTCAATGTAATAAAAACATCGAGGAAATTGTGCTTTGTGCAGTAGTATCACAATTATTGATGCTAAGTAATGGTGTTAAAAGCACGTTTTTTTTTGTTTCGACTTTATCCTAGTAAATTACTTTTTGATAGTTATGTATAGACTATGAGGGATACCCAATAAAACCTGTTTCAGTGGCTGCCACCGTATTGGTTAAATTTTAACACAAATTAGAGATGGATGATTTAGTTTATTTACTCAACCGGTCCTTTGAACACATGCTTTGAAACAATTTGAACTGATATTAATTTGCTTCTTGGAACTGAAATAAATGCTATCAAGTAACTATGATAGAGACCGTTGTAATACTTTGTTTCAAATGGGCAAAATTCAGCGAAACGATATTCATATAATTTTCAGCTTAAAAATCTTAAAAGAAATTGTTAGGGACGTGATTTGGACAATCGTGCCTAAAATAAGTTGATTTATCACTGTCTACTATTTTTTATCAGTTATAATAATTTAAAAACGTAATACTTTCCGCCCAGAACAATTTACTATGTTACACGCACCTTAAATTAGAAATCGTGAATAATACTTCCCACCTTGAGGCAGCTTATTCAACAGTAAACAAAATAAAATTTATGAAAATTTCGCGATTTGGCCTGAGTGATGGCGAGTAGATGTAATGCTAAAGCATATCGCAGTTATTCACAAACATATTTTTATGATTCCTCCCTCACATGTTCTTCACTAGCTTCAACGTCAAAGTACTGGTTTAATTGATTATTTCACATTTTGAATTTTCCTAAAAGGTTGTTGTCCAGTAAAGAAATTACAACCAGGTAACAAAAAGGCATAAAGAGGTAGTAGACAGCTGGTTACCGCCATTGATTTTACACTAGCTACATTTTTGCCAAGTGGTCAAGTAGGGGAGTAATAAGCATGGGTTATAAGTATCATAGAAGGTAAGTGGAGGAGTAAATAGTCAATTTATTGATCGGGTGAGAGTTCTGACAGTCTGAGGAACCACATCAAACTGTTGTGTTTATCTCCATACTTATCAGCATCTATAGTTCGGCCGCTTAGAAAACGACCTGCGCGCTAATGCTAAACCAATGCTGGAGGAGGTCGCTTTCTAAGCGGCCGAACTATAGTTATAGTCTACGACGTATAACAGCATATGTTGCATCATGTATTTGTGGTATCATATAGCTCCATCTGTTCTAGTATTCAATGACATATTGTTTTTCAGATGTTCGGCTCCCTGATCAAAACTTTCCTGATTCTTTTGATCGGCTACACGCTGGGACGATACAGATGCAAACAACAGACTCTCAAGAAGTTGTAAATCTTGTTTAAAAACATGCCATGAGACATTTGATGTATATTAATGTTAGTTTTAATGTATTTAATGTAGTAATTAACTTTACTTTTTAACGTAATGTTGTAATAAATAATAATCTAGTAGATTTTGTATTTTCTATACAAATTCCTCATTTTTAAAATTATTTTTGTGTAATCTTTCACTTTATTTGTACTTGATTAAATGAAGGTATTTATTTGCTTTTAAGTGATGAATGGAAATGAATTTTCAGCCTTGAAATATAATGGAAGTTTAGAACTAATGAATAAGTTTTACCTCAATTTTAAAAATGTTTAACATGTCATACTCGTACTATACATATTCAGTTTTATCAGATTTTCTTTTTTTCTTACACTCAGCCTCTTAGTTATTTGTGCAACTAGTGAGAAAAGTGAGCAATTGACTCACTCGAGAGAAATCCTTACTCACGAGCCGTAGGCGAGTGAGGAATGGTTTCTCGAGTGAGGCAATTGTACTTTGAACTCGAGTTGCACATTATACTTTTCCTACAGTTACCATAAAACAAATACATTTGTGAAGAAACATAACCTATTTTTACACAGAAGTGAACTTTTAATATAACATTTAACGTGAAGTGACCACTGAGCTATAATAATACAACTGGAGTAACCACTCTGTGTTTTAAAAACGTACCACTGTTTTTGATGTTTTTGATTCAGAGCTTCGTGTTGTTAGGTTGGCCAGGTGATCGGTTGGTGGGATTTGTCAAATTAGAGGAAAAATCAAGATGGCGTCAACCTATTGTCTTGTTGATAGCAAACAAAAATATGTCAACATTATGATTGCAATATAAGTTTAATTATTTATTATACGAGCAAAATCAACCCGTTTTAACAAGATCATAAACCGATGGTCGTTCTTTATCAAATGCCATAGGTAAACCTGCCACAGTAAACCCAAGACTAAACCAATATCTCCAAACCAGGAAACTTGACTAGCCTATTTTCACCATATACCTAGCTTGGAAAGAGGTAAATAAGTTAGTAGCCTATTTATTTATTATCAAAAACAATTTATAATGTTTCAAAATAACTTTAAATGCACAGGTTTTAACGTGCAATGTCTTAAATAAGTTTTTTTTTTTATATAAGTCCTTGAAATAACGGATAGGCCTAACTTCAAAGGAATAGTAAGGTTAGGTTAGAATGAATTGGAATTTGACAACATCCCACCAACCGATCACACGGCCAACCTAACAACACGAAACGCCAAAAACAAACCAGCAAAAACAGTGGCACGTTTTTCTCTAATGTTTAACCAGAGAGTAGTGGCTCCAGTTATAATCTATATCTCAATGGAAGTGACAAATACAACAGTACAACAGCTGACCAGCTGATTTACAGCCAGTGCTGCCAACGTATTTCGCGCGCATACGACGTTGCCTGCATGTTACGCGCTCACTATTTCGTGCCTTCGCGTTGCAAATCTGGAGTGAGACAAAGTAATTAGAGTGAGACAATGTTAACATTGTCTCACTGATGAGCGAATTGGCCACTTTGCTTTCTCAAATCAGTGAGAGAACATGTACATTGTTAGGTAACTGTAGGAAAAAGTAGTAGATAACCATTTAATAAGCCAAATGTCCATTTAATAAGTCAAATAACCATAAACAAGCCACATCATGAGTTGTCATAAAAGAGTTCACATTTAATTGTGCAAATCTCTCTATTGGCCATTCTGTTTACCCTTTATGCGATAAAGAACTTTGGGTGTTAAATTAACGAAGAAAGGCGTGGGAGTTCTCAGCATGTTTTCAAATAGATTTAAAAAAAAACATGGGTATATAAATTAAACTGGGGCCAACGCATTTTATTATACCTTAATAAACTTTTAAAATGGTAAATTTATGTTTCCTACAAAGCTCAGTCGAAATTATTTGTATCATTAGTTGAACATAATGTACGTAAATTTAGAATGAGGTTACTGCCAACTTAATATACAGTAGCAGAGTAGTAATAAAACCCCTATAGCATGTGGTAAACCCACTCAATGAGTATTATTCATTACTCATTAATTGAGTAATAAACAGATAAAAAAAATAAAAACTCTTGAATTTTATGATTTTTCTGGTTTTGATTTCTTTTAATAAGAATAAGTTTAATAACACGAACTGTTTTGGCCCATAACAACACAGATAACAGATAAATCACACGAAATATGTAAACGAGTTATCAATCATTATGATCAGTAAACTGAGAGTGTGTCATCATTGGATTAACGCTAACAATGTGAATAGCACATTCTACTAATTCTAACTATTGAATGTATTGATGAAAACTTCCAATTTGAATGTGGTGCTGGAAAACTAATTCGTCGTAATACTTGTATTATGCATGATAAGTGGGATTGGGATATTAGTTGTAGTGACGAAGAAGAAAATTACCGGGATTATTTGATTGGCTGGAAAGACTTGGACTTTAGAGACACCTGGTCCTTTATCAAAGTAAGTTAACATTATCTTTTCACGGTATGTGTTGATTTTAATGTATCATTATCTATCAGAAACAATTTCAAAACCCGTACTAGTTTCAAATTTTAACACATTGTACAACTAACCCTATTGAATTGTAATCTTCTATTATTCTAATTCCGTAAGGAATGTCTTGTGCACACCAAAACTCTTTTATTTATGAACCGATTTTGATGATTAAGGTGTCAAATTAAAGGGGATTCTCTGTAAAAGTCATGGAATAACTTTTGCCACGCTCAGTTCAATGTGCTTTGCTCCATTGGACTTTAAAGTTTTCATGTATTTATTGTAATTTACTTTAATTTAGGGTAGTTTAGTAGGTTAGTTTGTACTAGGAGGGACGAAGTTTGTATATTTATCACATGGTTTTAAGAAATAACGTTTGAATTAATAAATAGATTCGGTATTTTTATTTTATACTAGCTGTTGTACCCGTGCTTTGCAACGGGAAGAGGACACAAAATAGAAACATTTTAATCTTTATATCTGTTGCATATAATAGTTACACATCCACCAACAACACTTTTAGAAACAAAATTCAACTTTTATTGCCTTAATAGAAACGTTTAAGTAATGACTTTTAAATCTGGTAAGTAATGGATACCACCATTTTTGTTTTGATTAATTTTAAATCTAGTGTATGCTGATATATTAGAAAAAACTGACCAAATCTTTGAATAAAACTTTTACGTGTATGATTTATCTTCATCTCCCTTAGTTGCATATCTGTTTTCTTTATTTTTGACATTTTCAATTTCAATTTTGAAGCTGCAAAAATACTAATTATTAAATTTAAACTATCATTTGTTAAATTTCACTTTTCTTCCTATTAAATCACAAATCCTTCCATCTTCAGTTTATTCACTCAAAATAAATCATTAGCAAAATTAGGTCAGCTGTTATAAACTTTAGAAATATATTTGTGCCTTATCAATAATCTTTTGGAATATTAAAGAAACTATATCTATACTAAAAAAAATGTTTAAACAAATAATTTAGCATTAAAGACAGCAGACAAAACTAATATGATTATCAAAGCATCAAGGACTAAAAAATGTAATAGCAAATACAGTATATGTTTCATTGCATCTCTGATTCTACTCTACAAAAATATCAACAAACAACTTAATATACAAACCAGTTCTTTTAATCATTTCCATCGTCCATTGCCTTTACATTTTCACAATTACCATTCAGGGTGTCCACAGAAATTTTGTCATTAATTTCCCTGACTTTCCATGACTATCCATGACCATTAACCATTGATTTCCATGACTCACGAGCTTAACTAAAAAATTATAATATACCATACACACACGAATAATACTGCCTAGTCAAGTTATTTCACAGAAAATATTGAAATATGTATTAACAGATAACAATGGAGTAAAATGTACAACAATGAACTAATACAAACTCAAAACCCATAAACTAAGACAACTATATAAATTGAAATTGTCGTACATTTGTGAAAAATTCCGGAAAATACTACAATAGTCGGGGTTACGGCCGACTAGAGCATTGAAAGGTCCCCTGAAATCCATCCATCATCGGGGATTTCCATGACTTTCCATGACTTTTTGCCTATTTCCATGACTTTCAATGACCAAATTTTTTTTCCATGACTTTCCATGACTATCCCTGACTTTCCAGAATGTGGACACCCTGCCATTAAGTAAACATAGTAACATTTAATTGATTTTAGAAAATAAAATAACACTGTGTACTGCTTAGTTTTATGATATTTTCCTTGGTTTAGTTTAATCAGTGGTGTGGCAAAACATAAATAATAAATTTAACAAATAAAGTAAATGTGAACTGAAAGCTGTTAAGATAAAATTAGAGTATTTTGTATTACCATTTGATAATTAAATATAGTTACACATATACAACAGATTTCATAACACAAAAATCAACGACATACAATTTAGTTATTGATGATATTCTTTAGTTGAATTTAAGCATAGGTTTAGCAAAACACAATAACTAAATTCGCCTAAATATACATCTAAAAAAAATATGATGTGCAAGTTATGTTAAGTTCATCTAACGCATGTTAAGCAGTTTGAATTTATTTAAAGTAGCCTCCAAATTCATACAAAACATCTATACATTGTAATTTTCTTACTGTTTCCATAAAAATATATCAATAACATTATTTTTATAACACTTAAGACACTTCACAAATCGAAAGCAGATCCTAAGTTGATACAGCATTGCTTTTTGAATATTTTTTAATTTCTATAATCATTGACATAGTTTTTGAATAAATGATCTTTGATACATTTTTATATTAAATAAACCAACCACATAATTGTGTGATATATTATATTTTAATTTCATCGGATCAGCTGACTTAAATTGTGAAAATATGCAATTTGGTAGTACTTCTGGTTTTGCTTCTGGTTCACATTGAAATGTCAAAGCAAATGTAAACATTGTGAGTATTCTTATTGCAGCCATGGAGACCAATCAATATTTACTTTTAAAATCCTCACATCAGAACTTTTAAAGCCAAAGGGGCAAAGCCCGTGGTTAGTATCGAAGTGTGAATAGTCCTATAATGGTCCTTGGTATGGTAGCTATATTTTTGTAAAGTTTAAGCCCAGTTGGTTCAGTAGTTTTTGTACCTATTAGTAATACACATACAGACAGACACCATTAGATTTTTATATAATAGTATAGATTGATGCACGGCTTCAAAAATTATGAATCCAACACATACTGTTGGAACGATCTGGTCTGGTGAAAACGTGTGAGACTTCGGTCTCCGAGGTACCAGGTTCAACCCCACCAATTGCCAATGAATGTTATCTATATGATAGTTCCTCCACCGTCCAGGTCTAGCCTTGAAGTAACGTGTCAAACACTTCCGAGAGAAGCCTAGTGCCCTAGGATGGATATGATACATATTTCCTTGTTGCAGAGTCTTGATGAAGCCTTGGATGTTAACTGGTCTTTTATAAAGGATCACTTCGCAGACTGCATAGCCTCAGTGTGGAAAACTCTTGCTTTCTGGTGGGAAGATTTGTTCTTCCGAAAGTTGGGCGAAGGTCCGTATCCTGCCTTCCCTGTACTCTAAACTACTGTCAGGATACACGTCGTGATTTGAAAGTACCAGAGGTCTAAGATTTAAGGTAATTTTTATACAGAGACATAAATCAATAAATAGCTGGAATGTAAAAGTTATGCTAAGCGCAAAACAAGAATATTAGCTCGTTATAGTTGAAACAGTTGTGGTGAGGTAATTAACTAATTAGATTGTATGCTGTATTTACTAAATTTATTCATTCAACTTCTGCTTTTGAGTAGTTCACGGAGAACGAGAGGTGTTTTGTCTAAATTGCGTTTTGGCTTGCTTATAGACCTACCTTTTGTTGTACTATTTTACTCGTAATATATTTTTCTTCATTCCAATATTTAACTAGGAGTACGCTCCGAAGTCGCGTATGAGAATGAACGAAGACAATTCCATGTAGGTGCTCCTTAACCCTGCCTCTGCGGCCCGCCGCAAGTTCGTGCGGCGATAGTGGCAGTGATGACCAGCGTTGCCAACACAATTTGCTCATTTTACCCGCAAAATCCGGTGGTAATCCCCGGAATTAGCCGGAATCAAGTCTTGATTACCCACCAAATCCCCTGAATTCAAATTTTAAAGATTTCGGCAAACTTTTCGGTAAAAACCTCGTTGTAACCACGTTGTTACGGTGCATTGAGAGAATTATTAATATTTATACCATTCTTTATTATATTCAGCAAACCGTTCATCATTCATTTCAAGTTTTTTTTAAGGCTACCTTTTTTAACTGAAGTCAAATGAAATGTAATGAAATATCTATTTATGTAGGTAACTATTTATGCAAATATTTTTATCTTTCTGAAAGAGAGGTACCGGAACTCCGTTCCACTGCATTCCCCCCAAATCGAGCACTGAATAACAGTAAGACTCTATCCCCTATATCAACCATAAAAGTTTAAAAAAAAAACATAACATTTACAAGATTTTAAACCTTATGTGATGGCCCCTGGCCCTATCATAAATTGAAGAAATAATGTTAATTATAAAAGCTAGAGCAAGTAATGCAAGAGTACCCTAGGTCTATCGCGAATGGCAATTTGAGTACTGTGGTTAATTCGGAATTCTTATGAATAATATTCAATAGTTTGATGCCATGAAATGGTGTTAGTAACCCTTATGGGAAAGTGGACTGGTCCCAGATCTGGATTCTATATCTGGCCAGATTTGGGATGACATATCTGGACATATTCCAGATCTGGCACCCATATCTAACCAGATATGGAATTAGTTCAGATCTGGCATCACAGATCTGATCGTATCTGGCATCCAGATCTGACCAGATATGGAATATGAAATTGGTAAAATTTGTGTTTTAAGAGACAAACTAACATTTTATGTTATCCACACTTTATTCTCATAAAATCCAAGCCTATAAAAGATAGTAACCATTGACAGAGAAAACGAAAAAACTTTAACTAAATTAACGCATGAGTAAAAAAAATAGTTTTAATTTGTTTGGTTTGTAGAGTGTTGTTTATTGTAGGCCTTTCACAATCAATGTTGTTTTTGTGTCATATGGTTGCCAACCATTTGTTTTAGCATAAGTAAAGGACCATTAAAAAAAAATATTAAAGTACTTAAGTTAGCCTACGATAACATTGTGTGTAGGCCTAACTTATCTATGGCTTACTTTTTTTATTATTAATTAACTGGTGAACCCCTCTTGACATTTTCTTTAAAATATTCCAATTTTTCACTTCATTGATAGATAGGCCTATGAGATCAATAAATGATTAAATCTGTAGGAACTGTTGTAGTCAGTCGAATTTCGTTTGGTAAAAGTTCTACCGAGCAAGACAATATTTGGGAAATGTTCTTACAATTACGAGACCTAGATTCTCGTATTCGTAATGGCTTTCGTTACAATAAGTGATTAGAAGTGGCCGTGGTGTAGTGGCCAAGTGATTGGAGTTCAATGCTAGAGTCCCTGGTTCAAATCCCGGTCGGGCAAGTTCAAAACTTTTACTAACAGTTTTTTCACTTTTTAATTTTTATTGAATTTTTAATGCATAGTTCATTAGGTTTTAATGTTAAAACATCTTATATTCTTTTTTATTTTATAAAAATCATTTTCTTTATAAGTAATCTGGAACTCCTTCTTAAGGGAAGATGCAAAACAATGTTACTATTTAAAATGCATAACAATGTTATTATTTAAGTATTTTAACCTGTAGGACCATGTTACCAGAAGAATAGAAGCCTGTATATAGAAACAAATCAAGTACTGTAGGCCTACCTATGGAAATTGAATTTAAGGTAAAAATAACAAGATAAATACAGTATTTCAATTTGTTTAATTGCAAGCATTTTTTATATTGTTATTTCATTGTGTTTCAACCACTATTTCAATTGTGCAAAGACAGTCAGTCTGGAGGTAGCATAAATTAATGAGCCGGTTCGTTATAGCCTAAACATTACCTTCCTAATCGAACCTAACTTCAAAACACTTAGTACAGTCACAAATTCACATAAAACCCAACCTACCTTCCCCACATGCCTATCTAAGAGCTGATTATTTAGTTTCAAAACAATTTGATTTAATTCCGCATTGAGTCAAGTATAAACAGCGGTTTGCTTTGTTCACACAGTCCTCAGCCCACATTCGGACCCGTCCAGACCACGCCATATTACCATCCGAACCGCGAAATGAACCTTAGATTCGTAATTTTAGCCTTCGTTTTACATCCACTTAGGAATCTTTCCGACAAAAACGGATTGCATTTTTGGAATCAGCGTGAAAAATACTGTAAGGAAACATCTAAAAATTACATCATTTCTCAATGTAGACATACTAAATAATCGCCAAATATTTTATCGGATGAGTAAGTTAAATACATTTAATCTTAACAATGAATATCAATATTTATCCGATTCAATTTTTCGATTAAAAAAAATTCTTTTTTTCCAATGTATGTCGCTAAACATCAAATTGATTTATGGTTGGTACGGTTTTTGTTCATACCTATTTAAGAAATTAGGCTAAACTACTGTCTAGGACTAACTTACAATTCGACCAATAATAAATAATAAGTTAGGCCTATTAAAAAGAAAGGGTACAGTTTCATATCTTTGGCACAAACAACCGAATGAGTAATATTAATTATTCGATTGTTTAATTCGATATATCGATCTATATTACTCATTCGGTTGTTTGTGCCAACAGATATGGAAGTGTACCCAAAAGAAACAAAACAAATAGGCCTAGGCCTACCTAATAACAAAACAACCAAGGATAAAACAATAAAATGCTTCTTTAATGTTTGGTTACCTCGGTAGGTGTACCTATGGCTCTGGGAAGTGGGATTTTTTAAACGTTATTTTTTTATTTATAACTTATCATAGCCTATGGTAAATGTATGATGAACTTAAATTCAATAGGCCTAGGCCTACGATATTAAGTTAAGTTAAAATCAAACCGATAAGTAGTTATTCATCTGATAAAATAATTAAGTTATTGTTGGTTTTCTGCGAAACTGTAACTTACCCAGTAGGTAACATAGGTAAGGAAAATAGCCTACATTTTTATAAACTCATGAAAAAGATCAAAGTTAACTTACCGTAGCCTAACTTGTGTATTTAAAAATTTATCTCTTTAACAAAACATACACAAAAGATTCATGTTGATTTTTAGAAATGTTACCTTTGTTATTAGGCCTATTATAAACTAAAAAGTAGGCTACACAGTGTAAAGAGTCTCCTTAAAAAAAGATCTTAGGCATAAATTGTTCAATATTGAAATAGGCCTTGGCCTACATGATAAATAGGTACGGTAAGTTGTATCGCCTAAAAGTGAACCGATTACGATAAGTTATCGCATATAGGGTATATTAAGTTAAACAAAAATATTTCATCTGATAAATTATCGTAGGCTAGGTTCTCTGCGAAACTGTTCCCCTGAAGATGGGTAACTTAATCTAAGTATGCCTACTATTAGGACACAGATATATAGTAGCTAAAAGAAAGTTATAGGATACATTACTTTTTTAGGTCTATTTAGGTAAGTTAGGGTTATATTAAGGCCTACCTTTCTTAGTTTAAAATTTCTACCGTAGGCCTACATTCTTTGACGGTGAAAAACACATTAAACACAGATTGTTGTATGAACAAATAAACATAGTAAATGACATCATTAGACACAGATTTTTAACAAAACACTTGACAGGCCATACCTAGGCTAGGCAACACGGCCGTCTAGGCAATTAATCTAACAGACACACTTCACACAAAACAACGTTACATGACACAGCACTTCCTCGCTTCACCGCCTTCCTTCAAAAGTTTACCTATACTGTTTAGGCTATATTTTGAAGTTAAGATTATCTACCTCAGCATTCTGATTGTCTGTCTCACCATTCTTCCACTGCCTTGGTACAATCGATGAAGACCTGTGAGCCCAATTTCATGTCTGCTCGTACCGTACGTCTTGATCTTCACTTCTTGGTTATCTGCGTAGTCCTTTTGTTATGGGCCCTTAGCAGCATTATTTTATGTGGGCTAAGTTAGGTAGCTCTTTGAAGCAGTAGGTTCCCACTTATTGACCTACAGTATTTAGTGTTCAATACTTGATGAAGGGTCCAGAAGCTCAGTTTACACATAGTCGACTGAGAGTTCAATATTAAACTCACTAAAATTTGTCACTTATTCAGACCAAAGTCAAAGTCGGGAAAGCTCCTTCCTATTGCCTATTCTTGTGTCCATTGGCTGAGTTTCATCCACTCTTCATCAGAACTGGGTCTACTTGTTTTAGGTTAACCTTAACTTAATGAATGAGGTTTGAGTTGAATCTAAAATGCAGTTTGATTGCATTACTTACCTACGTAATTTAAATGGATAGGATTTTATTCACAAACTTTTGAAACCTACTTAGGTTGCCGTCTTATTATCAATTAGCAGAATGCACTAAACCTTGAGGAGTATGTTCTAAGACTAAACTTAACTTAAGGCAGCATTTCTGATTCTGTCTTAGTTAGCGAGTGAACTGCAGACGACCGATGAAAAAAAGATATATTAAATGAAAAAAACCTTATTTGATAAAAAAAAGTCTTAGTACTTATGTTATATCACTATACAGTAATATGAAAGTACAAGTACAGTAACTTATCTAAATATTTTGGGGCAACATTTGAATGACTGACTGAATAGATAAAGCCACCGACGCGAGAACTGAAATTTAATTTAGAACAACCAGAACGAAAATAACTAAAACCATTGATTATTAGATAGTGAAATCTTATCTAATATTAATTAGTCAAAGATAACACTTAACTTTTAGCAAGTTAGGAAACAATAAGTTAGTAGACTTTCACCCACGGCATCGTTTACCGTCGCGTCGTACTTATTATATAGCATTGCCTACTGAAGAAACGTAGCTTGTAGAATAAACATGTAAATATTTATTTTTCAATCAATTGCGATACATTTTAGTAGATAATTTGTTAACTCCTGCCAGTATTTTCGTAAATACATTATTATCCTAGAAATTGTAGAGTTATAATGTGAATACGGTTTGACTGTTACTCTATGGATGAAAGAGTAGTCGTTCTCTTTGTCTCAAGTAAACAACAAAATTGTAGGTCGTAAAATGTAAACAAATAAAAAGAAGAAGAAGGTAGCTCATAATGTTAATCTTATGGGACAAAATTAAAAATGTTTTTTTAAGATTTTATAATAATTACGGAACAAATATTTTTCAACAACTAATGGTCGCAAGATAAAGTGGTATAGAATCTTTGTGCAACACATCAAGTTTATAACTTTAGGCATTCTCGAGATTTCGATCAACATAAAGATGCATTTCACCCCAGTATGAGAATTCACTTCGTTCATTCAATAATGTTTGCCTACACAATTTACATTCAAACTATTAAGGGTGAATCACGTATATTGTCCACTACTGATTTCGGACCAACCGTTGTTCCTACAGTGGTGAAATAAATAGGTTTTTAGATAGAGCCTCTGGATTATTATTAGACATTGTTAAAATCTAAGGCATGCCTTAAAACAATCCAATTTATCCAATTTGTTTTATTGTGGAGGCTGCAGGCAGGTTAGGATTGAAATAAAGATCATGGCCATAAATCTGATTTCATTTTATCTAAGTATTTGTAAATATTTATGTATGCCCAATGTTTGTGAGGTTCACTGATTCAAATACCACAATTGTCAAATACAAACATTATATTACACATTACTTAAAATTATTATTATTCTATACATCATTTTAAAAATCTTGTTAATGCAAACACTTTGGTGGAATCAAAATTTGACTAGCTGTATTAGTTTCAAAATGGTGGCTCTTTATGTGGAAAATCGTGTACTACTTTGAATAACCTATTTTTTCTTGAAAATTGAGATATTTCTACTCTTCTAAAATATGCCATTCTTCCTCGCAAATCGTGGTTCTTGTATCTTTTGACAGTATTTACAGTCCTACACAAAAGTTGTCCAAATCTTTAAAGCTTTAGATTTGGTCCTTCAAACTGGCTGGTCATTGTCCTCAACTTCGGTGCGTGGCATTACTATAAAAGGCGTTATTTACAGAGCTTGAAATAATGCGACTCTAAGGAATTGCTCCGAAATAATGTAGACTACATGCTCACCTATTGATCCGGAAGGCTACATACATTACAATATATTTCCACCAGCACTTTTACGAAAATAATGGATTGCAAAAGCATTACTATGAGAGTCATTGATCCGAAATGAATGTGAGAATAAGGCAGGGAGGTGGTAACTTTCGGAGCATTGCCTGGGACTCCACAATTTCGAGATACGTCAAAAGGATCTATTTTTTCCTAAACGGGTAATATTGTTTATTATATTAACTAATACTGATATATCATTCTAACACTTGTGTTATGCATATCTGTCTATCTGTTCCAGCATGGTGATCCCTATACTGGGCGAAGACACCTGGGAAGGGATGATGATTGACACCCCGGGCGACTTTGTAAGGGTGAGTCTTACACCGTCATCACATTAAGACATGAAACATAAGTAAACACACAAATCCGAACATCTGCCTAAATGTGTCAAAATTGAACCCATCAAAGCTAACTAAATATTGTAATGTTCCAAGTGAGATAAATCATAATGAATTAGTTGGGAACTGCACGTTCATTCCACGTCTGCAATTTTCGTAGACTTGCCTCTTTAAACTGTTGGTAAGCCTTTCTCGTTCATATATTTAGTAGGTCTATGTACTGTACACCTGCCTGATCTATGTGTATTGTCCAGTTCCTGTGGGACCTACTGCAGGTCATGTGGCAGAGGGCGCAGGGTACCTTCTTCTACTACCTGGGAGTCTTCTTGTTCTGGTTGGAGGTGGAGTTGGATGATGGTGTTCACTACGACCCTAGTCCCTACGCGGATTTTCCATTGAGAAAATTTTGACTAATTTAATACACTTGGAAAAAGGGTTCATTTAGGGCAGTTGAGTTTGTATAGGTTTAATTTCAGCATGTAAAAAGTTGTATTGTGTATAGTTAATTTATCCAATATTGAGAATAAAATAAAATGTTTGTTATAATACGCACTTCTAAGAACACTTCAATTGAACATGTATATTGATGGACTTGTCAAATGAATATTTTAACTAACTCTATTTATGTCATTTAAAACAATGTATTGTTAATACATACATATTATGAGTTTTTGAAATAGTCGTAAGGGAATAATCTTGTAATGAGTACAAGGCTTTTGGTATCTTTATTTTGTTTGAACGAATTTAAAATTGGACCCTTGTCGGCAAACCAGCAGACACAGCGAGTTAGTGTTGCTTCATTGAGTTTTTATTCGAAAGTGATTGCAATTAAAGGTGAAAGTAGTTTTACACATAGAACAAAGTGTAAAGTGCAAATGACATTACCTAAATGACTACTCAAGTATACTTCTACTATAAACACAAAAATAGCTGTTTAAAGAAGTTGTTGCAATTTAACAATTTAACTACTTTCTTAGGGGAATTGGTGAGATTTAGTGGTTATGTTTCAAAGATATATTTAGCAATTATTAAAATCCCGTACGATTTTGATCTTAAAATGTATGCTTCTTAACGCACTAAATGCTTTTTTTCTGGGCAGTTGCTGATTAGAAAAAGGTTTTTTTATGAAGAATTATAGTTGAGTAAAATTTCATCTGGCATAAGAATAGTTATTTGTGTAACTGGTGTAAATGGTAAGTGGTGGAAATTTTCTCGAGTGCAGCAAAGGCAGTTTGTGTTACACATTATATTTTTCCTACAGTTACTATAAAAGCATATAAATAGTTAGTCTTTCTAACACTGTACAGCACGTTTTTAGGTTGGGTTAAATCCAAACATTGATCAAAATGAGAAACGCTGCACCATCTAATCGTAGTCATAATATGTTTAAGTGTTGCCAACATATTTTCAAGTGTACACGGATAACGTGCATAAAAAAGCACGCTGTTTTGTTTTGTTTGGTTGTAATACTGGTGTGCGCCAAAGTATAAGCTGTGTGCCAAAGAAAGGCTTTCTGTACTATAATCTGTGCAAGGAAGCCCACTTTGTTGGGTGACTGTAGGAAATAGTTATTTGTGTAACTAGCAATGTTTAGCACGAGCCGCAGGCGAGTACGGAATGATCTCGAGTGCAGCAAAGGCCTTTTTCACTCGTGTTACACATTATATTTTTCATACAGTCACTATAAACCATATAAATAATTAGTCTTTCAAACACTATACAACACGTTTTTAGGTTCAGCTGGCAACACAAATAGGTGCCCTAGAGAAAGTAGTACCCTGTCCGTATCACTCCACTATTTTTCCTCGGCAAGAAATGTGCTCCGCGAATTGAGAATATAGTTCCGAATGTTTTTGTAATTTGAAGTGGTTTCCGCGCCTAAAAAAATGCTTTAAAGGTATTTTCTTGTTTATTAAGATCGTAGGAATGTTTTAAAAACGTTGAAAAGAAAAGTCCAGAAAGTTCAGAAATACCGAAACTATAAACACAAAATGGCCACAGGAGTAAGAGTAAGTAAGTAAGTAAGTATAAACACGAAATGCTGCTAATAGTGTTATTATCTTTAAGTGTTGCAAACCTATTTCCAAGCGTACACGAATTACGTGCATAATAGAACCACGCTGTTTCGTGTTGTTTCGTTGGAATCCTGATCTGCGCCAAAGTATAAACCGTACGACAAAGTATAAATATGCAGCAATTAGCAGCTTTCTGTACTATAAACAGTACAATGAAGCCAACTTTTTCCAAACTGGCCTTACATTTTTGGAAAAGTCCCTTGGGCTCTGTCCCAGTGGCTATGAAAGTCCCCATGTTGTCCTTATGAAGAACATAATTGTTTACATTTTGATCAGCTGTATAATTTAATTGCTGTTATTTATTTTTCAATTCAATGAAACGCATTGAGTACATTTATTTACTATTTGGGTTTGTGTAAACATAACCCCCAAGACGGATCGTGTTAGTATGGTCGTATCTTAAATTTAATTTGTGTATTTATCGTTGTTTTGTGTCGCTATGACGGATCGTGTTAGCATGATTGTAACTTAAATATGTGCATTAATCGTTATTTTGTGTAGCTATAATTTGTCTTATTTGTTGTTTTATTCTTTTAAAAGCCTCCGACGCAACGACAACGACACATATAGACAGGAGGTGTAATCGTGATAACGACCGCAGCAACAGAACAGTGGCGCGTAATAGGCTTTAACTCCTCACAGTCAGCACCTGACCCTGGACAATCTCAACTATTAGGTTACAAATGCGCCCTAAAACGACTTTTTGTTCTCAATTGGCCCTCTATCAGTGACCTGTGTGTACAGCGAAGCATTTTGAGAAGGAGAAACCCGGCCGGAATGCTTTAGGTTTATCAATAACGAAGATAAACATGGTCTGAGTTACACACCGGTAATCTTTGAGTTGACTCTTTTAAACTCATTGTAAATATGACTGTTATTAGTTTTTAAATCACTCCTGTACATAATACTTTGCAATATTGCTCGAATTCGAGCAACATGTACACTAGTACCATTTTAAAACGGGTAGAACTAATTAGTAAAGTGATTTAGCAATTTTATTACTTTTTAATGGATTAAAAAACGAGCCACTAACAATATTCACGCGTAGAAAGATCGTAATAACCAACTAATACAAATTATGATATTGGAAAAATAATTTGCCACTTTCAATGGTATCTACCAATTAAATGAGCATATACTGTATAGAATAAATATGTACAATGACTAGGGACACTCTAGTTTTGGACAACAGAAAGGCCAAGGCTGGCGAGGATCTGGCTTACTGGTGCTGCAGTTGACTTGAGGCTCAGGATCGGGGCATCTGGAAATTAAAATCAAATAGAATAACAATAAATCATAGATACAAACAAACACCCCAGTAAGCTATTAAGTTGTTTTTTTTTAAAAGGGCATCCAACATTAAAATTTGCCATGCACAAATTAAGGTGATGTAAATGAGGTTAGGTTAGGTTCGATTACATTCATTGCCTTACGAAATGTGAGCAATGTTTTTTTATGCTTGTTACAAGGTGTATACATGAACAATTTCTCATTCACATCAACTTCATTTGCATACGACAAATGCAAATAGTGTCGTTCCTCTTCTTCCAATTTACTCTTAGCACAAAAGATTGCAATCATAATAAATACTGTGCATATTATAATATAAATAAATGACAATTAAAATTCACGATCATATTAAGTAAAATAAAAGTAAATATGCCTAGTGAATATTGCAATAGAACAACCCAAGATTAATGGCCGTAAAAGGAAAATGTCGTATGAATCAGCATCGTAGTTATGAAACATAATTGGCCATTAAAATTTCGTCTACATTGATTGTTGTTTCCATTGATTTACAAAGTAAAAATTACCCAATATAATCTTCTCGAACATCTACTGTGAGACATCTGTTTATAAAGTCTTCATTTGCACTTCCCCTAACTTAAGGCAACGGTACACGCCTGAGTATTTTAATCTTAATACGAGCACAAGGTGATTGTAAAACGGTTTATAATGAGCTTGATATACTGAACAATATCAGTTGTTTCATAGTCAGGATCATTTGCTAACTGGTCATTAATTAAGGAAAGCTTGGCTTAGTTTTAACCATCGAAAACTACAGTAAGTTACTGTCTTTCCTCAAGATCTAAGAATCAGCTAATGTTTGTAGGTGAGCACTTTAATCGCCTCTCTACCCAAATTATCTCTAAGACCCTTGTTATGACTTGTTATTTTTTAAATAACCTTTTTGGAATTTCAGAATTCGTACCGTAATTTTACGAAATCCGTATTAACAGACTATTACGCTTTAAAGCAACACTTTTCGAGAGCATATGTCCTAAAAGCGCCAACAAATCCAATTCATCTGGAACGTTAAAAAATACTACCCTTTGTGTGTTAGTGTAATTGATATAGCTTGAAAGTAAGACCTTTGACTTTTGATACAACTAGAGAATTGTCATGTTAAAACTATTGCCAGTCTTTGAATTAACATGGACGTGTCATTTAGCTACCAACCGAGTGCGCTGAAGTAAATTATATTACAAATTTATGTTGAATAAGTAAATTTTGTTAACAAGCTAAATTGAAAGGACAAGTTATTGTTACGTTTAGTATATTTTCGGTCACATAAACTATCACATAAAAAATATAATTTTATACTGTATCCCACTCTACAGGGTGAATAAGAAGTCAAGACCCCCCATCTAATATTTTTCCAAGTAAATATACAGAGATATCCTTTTGGTGATCTTGCAATCTTAGCAGAAAGTTTCATTTTATGATTTTGAAATGTTTGAGTGTCCCCCCAAAAGGGGGGATTTGGGGGGCAACTCAAATATTTTAAATGTAAACCCCCTGCAAGTGACACCTCATTTTGAAGGGTTTACAAAAACTTAAAGAATGGTGAAAATTAGAGGTCGCCATCTCTTCTCTGTCCAAAATGGTAGCCAATATTACCATTACGAACCAATTTTACAATTGATTTGCCACAATCTTTGACGGGCTACCATTTTGGATAGAGAAGAGATAGCGACCTCTAGTTTTCACCATTCTTTAAGTTTTTGTAAACCCTTCAAAATGATGTGTCATTTGAAGGGGGTTTACATTTAAAATATTTGAGTTGCCCCCCAAACCCCTCCTTTGGGGGGACACTCAAAAATTTCAAAATCATAAAATGAAACTTCCTGCTAAGGTTGTACGACCACCAAATGGATATCTCTGTATATTTACTTGAAAAAATATTAGATGGGGGGTCTTTACTTTTTATTCACCCTGTATAAGTAGATCATTCAGCTATGTTACTTTTGATACAAAATGTTTACAGCTGGTCCATATAGACGAGATGTCTATTTCAATGCCTAAAAGTCAATAGTAATAGCCAGAACCTTACCCTAGGATGGTAGTTTTGCCAGCTGATGTACAAGACAGTCTGCCACAGCCTCCTGTAGGTGTCCACTTGTCTCCTAGTCTGTAGATCTTGTCTCCATCTTTACATTCTGCAGCTGGACAAAGAGAACCACTGGTCAGAACAGCTGATTGAACAGTACTCAACCTCAAAACCGTATTACCATGTGATTTGAAGCTCATCCAAAATCAATGTCTATGAATGAACTTCCGTCGCCTAAACACTCATTTCCAATTTAAACAAAAATATTAGTTAAGCATTACAGTTGGTTAATAATTGAGTGAAAGCTTTTTACAGACTTAAATCGGCTGACTGTCCAGTCCACGGTGTTACATGAAATAAACCGTGAATAGTCCAATGAACCAATTTCTGTCAATTATGAGAATATTCAAAGTCAATGGTAAAGTTTAACGTTCTTTAACGTTCTTAAGCGTTCTTTAAAGGTAAACAAGAGGATTTCTTTGATGTAGCATTTCAATCTTGTTTTTAAAAAAATACAAAAAGGATTTTACTACTTTCACATTAATATTGAAGTACGAATGCAAATACAAATGAGTTATTTCAGTCTAAGCGAGTGATTTAGAAAGCTCCAGCCAATTCTACAAGGTTTAGAAATATGTCTCTGCATATTGGTAAACATGAGCAAATGAAAACAGTACCCAGTATTTTAATTTGGAAGCTTTCTGTATACCAAAACTATGATTCTCAAGATGGGCAAATAAATTGAAATAGTTATATAGGGTCAACGTAATTCAGGGGGTGTATTTTTAATTCATTGTAAATTATTTTTATTCGCTTGGCATGACCTATTCCGTTGGGATACATTTCAACGTTTTAATATGATAACCACCTACACGTCAATCTTGTCTTGGGAAAAGATAACACAATTTCTTCCTGTAAACTGATAACACAACGATGATTACCAGTATTAACTTCTGGGGATGACATGCCCAGTTTGTTTAGGGGTGAGAAGCTAGGAGGCAGACTTTGCGATGATCCAGGGGTGAACTTGTGATGTGGGCTGTGAGAAGATTCAGGGGTTAACTTCTGAGGTGGCGGGCTGTGAGAAAATTCAGGGACAAATTTGTGAGGTGGTGGGCTGTGAGAAGATTCAGGGGTTAACTTCTGAGGTGGCGGGCTGTGAGAAAATTCAGGGACAAATTTGTGAGGTGGTGGGCTGTGAGAAGATTCAGGGGTGAACTTTTGAGGTGGTGGGCTGTGAGAAGATTCAGGGGTGAACTTGTGAGGTGGCGGGCTGTGAGAAAATTCAGGGACAAATTTGTGAGGTGGCGGGCTGTGAGAAGATTCAGGGGTTAACTTCTGAGGTGGCGGGCTGTGAGAAGATTCAGGGGTGAACTTTTGAGGTGGTGGGCTGTGAGAAGATTCAGGCGTGAACTTGTGAGGTGGTGGGCTGTGAGAAAATTCAGGGACAAATTTGTGAGGTGGTGGGCTGTGAGAAGATTCAGGGGTGAACTTTTGAGGTGGTGGGCTGTGAGAAGATTCAGGCGTGAACTTGTGAGGTGGCGGGCTGTGAGAAGATTCAGGCGTGAACTTGTGAGGTGGCGGGCTGTGAGAAGATTCAGGCGTGAACTTGTGAGGTGGTTGCATCGGTGGCCATGGACAACAGTTTGTCCAGCTCTGGTGATGATGATATCCTCCCACGGGATACGGCGTCCTCTGTCCCGACCAGTCAGATCCTGGGAATAGAATAAATACTTAGATCATAAGTCGGCTAAGCTTCTACTTAGATTAGACAATTCATATTGCATTCAATATCTTGCATAGTCATGAGTTTTGCTACAAAACATCACACACATGAAACGCCTCTTTGCACATAATTTACTTAATAAAGCAAAGGTACTAATGGCGGATATTAGCTAAAACATCAAACCAGTATATACTGAGCCGAGATATTTTCTTACAGCAATCGGTAGAACCATTTGAAAGCGTGTCGTGAAGTAAATGAAAACTTTGGAAATTTCCTTGAGCATTTTGTAATGGTATGCGTAAACCTAACGTCACAATGATCAAAGACTAACAGAAGCTTAAACTTTATTTAAATCAGTTACTGGAACCGTCTGATTTCCCCCTAACGTTATCAGTAAAAGCTGCGACAAATTAAATACCTGAGCTAAACTTAACGTCTGGATGTACTAATAGAAAACTATGTTGGTAAGCACAGCTTTCTTATTTCAAAATAATGTCCACTATAAACATTTATAACGATATGCAAGTACAATGGGTTGAAAACTTCATAGCTGCACCATTAGCAAAAGGGATCTTCTCGGCAAGGATCTGCAGGGCGACCTTGAACCCAAGGACGGGTAACTTTGGGTCACAGGACGTCTCTGCCCAACCTTCCGGCCAAACAGTGGCGAAGATAATGAATCATCGTGGCTCGAGCAGGAAACTCTAATGACAGTTACGCACGGAACAACTCCCTCAGTGTTGCGACCCAGCAAACTTGTGCTATGCAGCGCGTGGCTCCGGTGGCTCCGGCAATAGATGAGAGGCTCAAATCCCATATTGCAAGGCCGTAGCCAGTGGGGTGTTTGGGGGTCAACCCCCCCCGAAATCTCAAAATTTAGTTGTAAAAATTAATGCCTTAGCCTACAGAATGTTTTGAAATTTATGAATACGGTTATAGTTTAGTTTTTAAAATGTCTACTTTGTTCATGACAAATAAAAGTTGAAATGCGAGGCCATCATGATTGGCACTTATGGATTTTAACTATTGGATGAGTCCCCAAACCTGTAGGCATGTGCCTGAAGTAAAGTTCAACGGGCTCGGGTAAGACACCTAGCGTCCTAGGATGTGAAGGTGGAGCTAAAAAACCGGGCCTTTTACACATAGGTTTCCACATTACATAGTTCACCTTCTAGTAAGCAGCTAATTGGTATCGTGCCTTTGAACAATCATGCAATAAAGTATGTTTGAAAACGATTCATTACTCGTTGGATTGCAAGGCGAGGGAAATCCTTATTTTTATACAAGGCAAATAGCTTGTGCTAACGTGTAATTTCTTTAGATCGTTAGCATATTCATTCTTCTACGAGAATAATTCTGGAACATGAAATATCCAGCAAAATCGATGGACTGTTTAATTAAATTCAGTGATATCGGCCTGGATACAAACTTTTGGATTGACATTGCTGGCTAAAGATTATAAAATGCTAACTGACGATATCACTGGCACTTACTTGATTTTAATCTTGACAGACTTATTTGCTAGTAATCTTTAACTTAAAAGTAGTACTTCACTGTCTAAATATAGTCGTAGTAAGGAGTCTATGTTGACGACAGTGAAGGGTTGAAAAAAAGAAGTTAAATCTTTAGTAAACTAATTATCTTTAGTACAGTTTAACTTAGGACACATAGTATATTTACAAAACGAACAGAAGAGGGGTAGTAGAACAGAAGTGGCTTTATGTGGTAGTATTAAGACACACATAAATGCATTGGAAAGTCCACGAGTACACATGTTTGCTGCAACTGGGGTATTACTACTTTTTTTATACCGAACATGTTTTATTCTGAAAAAAGGAAAAAAAATAATACCGAAGCATTCTATTAGTTTATTAGCTTAGTAAAAAAATCTAACGATTATAAATAAACTATCCTACCTTAACGTTAGAGCAAACTTCTCATCTCCTGTGATTGAATAGGGAATGTAGTTTTAAGAAGTCTTCTAAAAATCCTCATTGATCAAACTATACAAAAACTTAAACTGACATTTTGAAAGTCTGAAGAACTCAGATAACATTATCTCATTAGCTTGCACATGATTGTTTATTAATATTTTGAAGTACCCCTCTTCTGTTCGTTTTGTAATTATACTATGTGTGAATGTGTGCTAAGTCTTGGAACACTTATCATTTCCAGAATTTTTCCATCTTCTAGATCTTCAACTAACAAATAAATCAATAGTATTTTGTTAAAGCTTATAAACTAATAATTCACTGATTCCCTATCCCTACTTCAACTCGGCAACAGTCAAGAATTAAATGAACGATTGTACTGTATAATAATCGCACAAGTGACAATGCCTCCTGCACGACGACGATCGTCCAACGACTGCAGTTCCGCGGCTGTAAAAGGTGTAAAAGGTACGTTGTCACTGGTGCGGCTACCAGTGACAACGTACCTTTTACACCTTCAAACCAAATTTTATCAAAATCGGGCAAAAATTACCCTGGTAGAATTAATTACATGAAATACCTCATAATTTATTATAGATTAATAAATTTCTTGTTAAAGAGGGAAGCTGAGTGGGTTTTTGTTTCGGATTTTTTTCTTATATAACTTAGTTATCTATATCATCAATCAATGCCAATATCAATAACAACATCAGCAATAAAGGGGATTCTTATGAACATAATATCTTAGATAGCCTACTACTAATTGGATTGTGATGAGATTTAAAACAGGTTGTATTTCATTTCAGGTTGAATTTCCTTAAAAGTTATAAAACTTCTTTCTCGGAAATTTAGTGAGAGCATTGCGTCATGGGATTCGGTTATGATTTCATGTCATCTTCAGCGACATAACATTCTGTCATCAGGTTGAATTTTAAACAATTATCTCTTTATTGATTATTGATATTGAGCAAATTGTATGAAACAAAATTTTTCCTACAGTTACCTAATGTACATGTTCTCTCACTGATTTGAGAAATTTGTAAACTTGTAAATCAACTGCTGGTCAGCTGTTGTACTGTTGTACCATTAAATGTCATATTAAAAGATCACTTCTGTGTAAAAATATGTTACGTTTTTTTACCACTTTATTTGTTTTATGGTAACTGTAGGAAAATAGAATGTGCAACTCGAGTGCAAAGTACAATTGCTCACTAGTTGCACAAATAACTATTAACTGTTTTATGGTAACTGTAGGAAAAATATAATGTGCAACTCGAGTGCAAAGTGCAATTGCCTTACTCGAGAAACCATTCCTCTACATTGTAAGGATTTCTCTCGAGTAAGACAATTGTTCACTTTGCTCACTAGTTGCACAATAGTTATTTGTGCAACTAGTGAGCAAAGGGAGCAATTGACTCACTCGAGAGAAATACTTACGAGCCGTATGCGAGTGAGGAATGGTTTCTCGAGTGAGGCAATTGCACTTTGCACTCGAGTTGCACATTATATTTTTCCTACAGTTACCATAAAACAAATAAATTGGTAAAAAAACATAACATATTTTTACACAGAAGTGAACTTTTAATATGACATTTAATGTGAAGTAACAAATACAACAATACAACAGCTGACCAGCTGATTTACAGCCAGTGCTGCCAACGTATTTCGCCCGCATACGACCTTGTCTGCATGTTATGCGCTCACTACTTCGTGCCTTCACGTTGCAAATCTGGAGTGAGACAAAGTAATTAGAGTGAGACAATAAAACATTGTCATCTAAAATAACTCTCTCTTGTTAAGTAGTTCGAATTTATGAACATAAAACAAAACATTATGACCTACATTGTAATTGACCAACTGTTTAATTTAAAATATAGCAATAACATAATTTTCATAACTTACTGTTATATAATCTTTCTTTATTTCCATTGTCAATGACATAGTTTTAGAATAAATAATCTATGACAAGGTTTAAGAATAAATAAACCTACCACATAGTTGTTTAAAATATTTAATTTTATTTGTGTGGATTAGCTGGCTGAATTTGTGAAATAAGCATTTAACAGTTCTGATTGTTTAAATTGAAATATAAATGCAAAAGTAAACACATATTGTGAATTTTCTTATGCTTCCATGGATACCAATTAATATTCACTTTTGAAAACCTCGCCTAACAATTTTGAACATCTAAGGGACGTAGCCCAAGAGGAACTCAGGGAAGTGAATATGACAATGACATTCCTAGATATGTGGACCATCTTTGTCCTTAATTTAGGCTGTATCGGTTTAGTGATTTAGTCGTTGTAGCCGCACAGACAGACGGACAGACACCACCTCAATTTTATAATAGTATTACTGTTGCCATTAGTTACCGTACTCTAGTACTACTTGAGTTGATTACTAAAATGTAAACTAATATTAATCTTTTTTTCAATATTTCAGAATAAATTATATATACAGAACATGTTTTGTTTAGTTAAACTTTTGAAGTAGTACAACTAGGGCCTTCAATCTATATTATAACTGCTTAAACTGTATTATAATTTACAACGAACAATTTTCAAATAAGTAAAGAGGTAAGTTACATGTTTATTCGGCTGATGCATTTTTGAACAAAGGTTGAATCTTTGCGTTTTGTTGGAATAGTTTAAGTAGCTACCAATAATTGAAAGGTAATATTTCAGCCGAACGATCATTTACTTACCAATGCATGCGACACATTTGATTTAATTCGGGTCAAAAAGCTATCAAGATTAGCTTGAGACTTGCAGTTTTTGTCGTACAAAACATAACGTGTTCAACTGTGTTCAATCCATTACAAAGTGGTTAGGGGCTAATAAGTAAAGTAATATCTAACATTCATAAGTTACGAAAATAAGTTTAATATTTTAGGTCAAATCTCTTTCTAGCATGTTTAATCAAAATTGTTCGGGATTTAAGCGTTGGTTTGGCTTTATTAACGAGGTAGGTTTATCTCATTAACGTTTGGAATGGTGGTTAAACTGCTATTGAAATTATTATCCGGGTCTGTTTATCAAACATTAAAACAGTTAAAACAATGTTTAGGTATTTGGAATAAAAGTATAATCAATTGTTCAAACAAACCTTCCAAACTATAGTTTAGAATAGAATAGAATAGAATAGAAACGTCTTTTACATGCAATCTATCTATCTATACTATTATAAAAAAAGAGGTGGTGTCTGTGTGTATGGGAAAAGTAAACGCGAAAACTACTGGTCGGATCGGGCTGAAATTCGGCATGATGATAGCTCATATTCCCGATTAACATATAGGCATATTTTTATAACAAAAATCCTTCCGGGCTCCGCCCCAGTGGCTCTGGAGCAAAGGTTCCCATGTTAACCTTATGAGAAATGGAATTAATGAATCTTAACAGCTGTTTCAATTAAACAAGTTGGTTCTGTTCTATGATTTTCAATAGCATTAAAGTTACAAGGATTACCAACAGGGTGCAGCACTAGCATTATTTCTTTTACATTTATGACAACAGCTAATTTGCAACCAAAAGGTGAGTGAGCGTAGCGAACGAACTTCAACCTGGAGGCGAGTGAGCGTAGCGAACGAGCTAACCTGAAGGCAAGTGAGCGTAGCGAACGAGCTAACCTGAAGGAAAGTGAGCGCAGCGAACGAGCTCCAACCTAAAGGTGAGTGAGCGTAGCGAACGAACTTCAAAAAGAACCGAAATTTCTTAAACCATGTCCTCACTCATAACTGCTATAAGCATTTGATACTTATATGCCAACCCCGTACGAAGGACGGGTACTCTGCTAGTACAATAATAAAAGAGAACAACTTATTTAACTAAAACTAATACAACTAACTAACCTATATTTACAAACACAGTTTTTTTTGTTTCTTGTCTGAAAGCCTTAGAACTTTCAGTATTACAATATTAGTTTGAAACTACAAGTGGTCGTGTACACATGGAAATTACTCCTAAAGTGTACTGTACAAACACAAAGTGATCAAATGTGTAGAAAGTATTAATTTCTAAGTGAAAAGACCCAAAACATTCGTCAGTTTAATACAAAGTTTATTTTTTATTTTTTGTAATTTAAATTATAATTTTAGCAATTTAACTCTTAGCCGATATTATATTTTATTCTATTTACACCCAAATAAATTTAAGTGCGTAAAATTTAAATGTATAAAAATTGCAAAACATTTTAATTTTGAGCTAAACACCTAAATACTTATGCTATTACACTTGCCTCGATATGCGACCGTAGAAAGAATGTACATCATCAGTGGCAAAATTGAAGACGAAACTATAACTGTGAATCTTGAATACATTGCTAGAAGGAGAAATGTCAGTCTTGTAGAATACTGAAACTTAAGTTACAAACCTATCACAAGTTGTTGAACACATTCGCGACTATAGTGACGAGACACAGCGCTCGAGGCTTGGGTGCGATCTGAGCGTAGCAGCTGGGGAACGGAAAACCCGCGACGGCCTTTTGAAGCGGTATTTCCTAATTGCACATTTAAGAGTAAAACAAGTTACCAAGTCGACTGATGAGATACGATCTATCTTTACCGGAGAACAGCGGCTTGCTATGACGTTGATAACAGCGAAACAGTTTTTGCTCGATCAGCAAAGTGAGCTAAACCGGTTTTGCGTATTTTCTCGGTGAGATTAGCAGCTATAAAGTCCGCGACAAAAGAAAAAAGTTTAGGAGTTAGAGTTTAAAATAGTTGTATCTGAATATTTTACATAAAACAGTGCTTTTGAAAAATTCAAGGCTCTGTGAATGATATGGTGTTTTAAAAATATAAATTAAATACATTTGTGTGTACCGTGTTACCGTTTGACTTGACTCCCAATTTTTATGGAAAGAGTGTTTAAGGTGCTTAAGCCCGCAGTCCAATCAAAAGCTTGTTTAGTATGATAAGGTGAGTTATTATCAAGGACAGACACTTTTTTCAAAATAGTTGGGTTGCGTTGTAATACACATACAGTTACAGTACGAGAGATATATGACGACACCGACTCATCGATGTGTATATTCTCATAAGAAAATTTAGCTATGGGTGTTGATTAGTATTTTAATTTAGTTCAAAATTATTTAGAAGCTAGGTGCAAACAATGTTGTTCAAACAGATAGTGTTTATCTATACAAAAAGATAATTATATACTTGTTTAATTACAGCCTTACAGAATTACTGTACTTGAGTTAACACTCGAAATCCTCTCACGGGAAGTTTATGTGTAATAAACCAACCAACAAACAAACATGAATGAATAATACTGATCATGATTTAATCAGACTACAGTACTTGTAGAAATTTGATTTACATTTGGTTGAGAAATGGGGTAAGAGTGGACAAATTTGATGTCAGTTACTTAGACACATATATTTGAAAAGCAACACATCAGCACAAGAGGGAAGAAATAAACAAAACAGTTCATTATGTTTTTTTATATATTTATGCTATCCAGATACAATTGATTGATTTTCAAAATACACACACAATATTTTATTTTAATCATATTTGCAGTTAGAGCCGCGCCGACTTGAAATACGTGAGCTTGACTAATACAAAAGTTTACATTATTGAAATTATTACATTCTCTTTAGAGCGTTTAAAGTCGGTTGTATTTTTTTACAAAAATAAATTATTTCATGATTTTTAGTGACTGTATAATTTGTTATATATTAATTACTTGAGGGTTTTTTATAAGTAAAACTGCCACAGAACAATCATTATTTTAAAACTGCTAGAGTCACCTGTTCAGGTTACATATAATCAATGGGAATAAAAATAAACATTTTTAGATATTCCTTAAAAAACAAAGAGTTGTCCATTACATTAGGCCTAATGAAAAACTAAATGTCTGTTCTAGATACATTGAAATGTCGGACCATCGTCTCCTGCAATCGGTGTACTTCTACATTATAAAAATAAATACAGTAAAGTCTCAAGCCTTTTGGAACAATATGGAAGTTATTCCTCATCTAATACCAGCACAAAAAAGTATAAATTTGGTTGTTATCACGTATAGTACCTTTGGAAAAAATATATATGAATGATTGGTTCAGCTAAAAGTGGTGTAAGCCGGGTAGGTTTTGTTTGCTTAAGATGTAGTCGAAATTGCAAATCAGCTTCCTCTAGGACTTTCCGAAGCAGGCATAATATAGTATTGATATGATATTATATATTAGCTGGGTAGAGAATATTAATAAACATTCCACATCTGCAAATGCATGTTTAGTAATTAAAATATTTAACACTTTTAAGACGATTTACGATTGTGCACTCTCACACTTCATGGGTCGTGTAAGGAATAATTGCATTTAATTTATATTTAGACCTCTTTTACAAATGCTTTGGGTTTTCAGGGGAGTGTGTTTTATATATGATACTAGCTGGCCCGACAGACGTCGCCCTGTCCTAATGTGGTTTGGTTTTATGTCAAATGCTCGTTCTTTTTCAAGATGAACTAGTTCGCATGGTTCAATCACGTCCTGGTTGAAGTTCTTTCGCTACGCTCACTCACCTTAAGGTTGAAGCTCGTTCACTGCGTTCACTTGCCTTCAGGTTAGCTCGTTCGCTACGCTAACTCGCCTCCAGGTTGAAGTTCGTTCGCTACGCTCACTCACCTTTTGGTTGCAAATTAGCTGTTGTCAATAGTGCTGCACCCTGTTGGTAAACCTAATAACTTTGTAATGCTATTGTACGTCACAGAATCAAATTGTTTAGTTGAACCAGCTGTTAAGGTTCTTTAATTCCATTTAAATATAAGTACTCATAAGATTAACATAGGAAACTCGAGCCAGAACCACTGGGGCGGAGCCCTTTTGACGGATCTGCACCAAACTTCACACAAACCATCCTTGAATAATGCTTAATAATGCCTGAAAGTTTCATTACAATCTGTCGAGCGGTTTCGGAGTCCATAAAGGACAAACAGACATACATACCACATAACAACAAACATACATTGGATTTTATATATATAGACTACTCAGTACAATGTCTATAGTCTAGACCTAACCTGATCAGTGTCAATGATTGGTATTCTCTTTGGAATTTTATAATCAATTCAATAGTTATACATACTGTGCGTTTTACTGTAGAATTTAATTCATCATGTGCAGTTGCATGGCAACCAACAATCGGCCTGCATTTTTTTATAATATTTTCTAACCATAACACAACCAATAAAATCTTAAAATCAGGTGGTGATCATTTCATTCGCCGTCGTCTTGTCAACAAATTAAATTTGTTTACTCATTCTAGTGCACCCTGTCTTAATTGTTATTTCCCCTTTTTAAAAGTCTAATTAGGCTTTGGCCTACATAATATGAATTCTAGTAATTAAAATTACCGAATCTAAGTCTAATATCCACAAGTTTTCGTCGATATGTTAATGGTTTTCTGTTCAGGTCAGTGTGTCCTAATTTAACCTACATACAACATACATAAACATAACAGAAGAAATGGGGAATCCAGACAGTAATTCTACAATCGATTCAAGAGAAAAAGAGGAATCTGCTCCACCACGAGAATCACTTGTAAGTACAGTAATTATCTTCTCTAATTAGAGATCTTCACATATTTTCCCAAACAGTTTTTTTTTTAACTTAGGCTACTTATGGTAGCCTAAGTACCTCAGGATTTTTTAAAGCAATTACTTAGGCCTAGGCCTAAGTCATTATCGGGTATACTTCCATATCTGTTGGCACAAACAACCAAATGAAAATATCGATTGATAAGTATATTGATTATTTGATACATCGTTTGGTTAGTTAGGTGCAGTGGAAGAACATTATGGCTATGGTAGATTTGTATTTATACGGTATGGTATAGTAATACTATACCATACCGTATTAATTCAAAGAAACATATTTTGGTACTTTGGTAGGTCTACTATCTTGAGGCCAGTTATTTTAGAGGGATTTTTTTTACCGGAGACCAAAAATATTTAAGTTACATATTTGGAAAGAGCATACTTTAATTGACTTACTGTCCAAATTTGGTACGGTATGATTACGATTAGCGGGCTTCAAGTTCTGCCTCCTAGAAGGCAGCGATGTTGGCGAGGATTGAGTTGACTTGAATACGACGCCGCCGCTAGCTGCCACATACAGGTAGGCTACTCTGCCAAGTAAGTATACAGCGCACTGTGGCGGTTATGTTAGGTTGGGTTATCATAAATATGTTTGTAAGTCTTTCCTCGTTTTGTTATGAATCTAACGATACCAGATGTGTAACGATACCAGAGGTACAGGCGGTGACAGGTGATGCGCGCGTTGTTAACGACCTGACCTTGGCCTACATGAAGGGGATTTGGCGAGCGAAAGTGTGACTCATCTGGTATAGTTCGATTCATAACGAAATGAGGAAAGTTCTACAACCATGATAACCTAACCTAACATAATCGCCGCAGCGGGCTGTATAAGGGTGGCCTCCGGATAATACCAAAGTACCCAAATTTTCTTAAACTGTGTCTTCCTCCATAACTGCAATCATTTTATACTTATATGCCAACCCCGTAGGTAGGACGGGTACTCTGCTAAGTTAGTATAAATATATACCATATTATAATTCAATATTAATATTGAATCGAATATAGCCTAATTTTACCATGACATAGGGCCTAAATCAAACCCCTAACAAAAACATTAATAAAGTTGTTTTATTTTTTTATCCTAAATTTGTAGACCTACAGTACAACTTATTTTTGAAAACTAGGTATAGGCCTACATTTTGTAATGTTATGCGGTACTTTGAATTCATCATTACCCGGTGGGACACACGGGAGGGACGATGGCTAACATAGTGTCAGCGTTTGCCGCTAGAACCGCTAAGTTGAAAAATTTAAATTAAGTTAATTTTATAATTTTAGTTATAAAATTAACTTTTTAATTATAAAATTAAACTGTCATAACCTAACCTAACCAACCAAACTTGCTGATAATATAAAAAAGATATAAGATAAAAATGAAATGAATGTTTACTTATAATTTTTTATTATAAAATCAATTTTAAAATTTTGTAGGCAATTATAAAATTAAACTGTCATAACCTAACCTAACCAACCAAACTTGCTGATAATATAAAAAAAGATATAAGATAAAAATCAAATAAAGCAAAATCTCTGACAAAAAGTTAATGTCCCCGACCAGTTTCGAACCCGAGACCTCCTGAGCACTAGACTGATGCGCTACGAACTAAGCCACGAACGCCGCTGGAAATCCATCGTCTTGTTACGGTAATCGTGTTGCCTCAAGAGAAGACATTAGCCAAATATGACGTCACCACACCTTTAGCCATCGTCCCTCCCGTATGCCCATTCCCATCATTACCTATCAAAGTATTGGTTAAGTATTGTTTGTTTTGTTAACGTTCATAAAATATATTTTGTTTTTAATTGAATTGCGTAGGCCTATTGATAAGTTACTTTATAGTTTATTAAACATAAATAAAGATGTAAACAGACCATTAACTACTCAATTTGATATTTAGGCCTACATTTATTAAACACCAACAGCTTAAAAACGTAAACAGATCATTACTGTACTCAATGTAATGTTTAACAAACACCGGGGAAAAATTTTACTTAGAAGGGATAGCCTATTGCCTGTATCAAACTGAATTATAAGTAATCGCTATAAAATCAATATTTTAACTGATAATATATTGCAGGTTCTCTGCGAAACTGTACCCCGGAAAAGTAAAATACTTGTAAAGAGGCAGAAAGAGCCCGAACTGCAATAGCCACATAGTGATTTTGTACAGCAGTTGTAGCGCACAGGGTCTTCCTGCAGCGTGAGCGCAATATTACCATGTGTAATGGCGAGGGGGAAAAAAGATCAAAAGGGGACAACAAATATAATTTTCTCTATACACCCAGCAATTGTTGCTGGACACAACTTGAGTGCCATTGAATGTATCCTCTGTTTCTAGCTTCTCTTAGTAATACGTTATTCAGTCATTTTTGGCTAGCAGGCCCAGCCTATCTTTATTCTAGAAATTAGTCTCTACTAGGCTAGAGCTCACTGAAGATATATTAGCGTTTTAACCTACTCTAGAGAGGCTTGCTATATCAAATGTTGGTCTAGGTAAACAGCATGATAGGTATACAGTGTTACTTACTTGAAATACTTGAAATACTTGAGGTCTTCATCCTTGACCGACAATGTCGGATAGATTGCGTCAACTCATATGAGTTTGTCAATGAAAGCATATATTTACACTATTTACAATATATACATTATTTACATTTTACTGTGGCATGGCGGATATATTTTAGCTAGGATCTAAAGAGTGGTTCCTCAACGAGTTCTCCCAGCGAATACAGTGGCCTATCCACTAGGGCTCCATGAACAACCTTTTTAAATTTCGGCAGTTCCAATTTACGCACTCGAACTGGCAGAGTATTGAAAACCTTTATTGCAGAGCGGGGATAACTTTTTAGAGTGCGACTCAAGCGACAGCGTGGCATATCCAGGTCTTGTGCTCTTCTTGTGTTGTAGCTGTGCTGATATTCCCTTTTAGAATATTCTCCTTCACGTTCTTTAAGGAGGATAAGTATGTCATAAATGTATTGACTGTAGATGGTAAGTATCTGCTGATCTTTGAAAATAGGCCGGCAATGCTCAGTGTATTCCGAGGATGTTATAATTCTGAGTGCCTTTTTTTGGAGCAGCAGTACATCATGGGCTGCAGGAGCGTGTCCCCACAATACCAGTCCATACATTATATGGCTGTGGAAGAGGGAATGATACACAGTCTTTAAGTAAGGCTGCGTTATGATTGACCTAAGTTTCCTAAATAGGTACAAGACTCTGGAGAGCTTAACGCAGACTTTTTCAATATGGTAACTCCAGCTGCACTTAGAGTCAATCCAAAAACCAAGTAGCTTCACAGGTTCATCTTGATCTTCCTCCTCTCTAGTTTTGAGAGTGCATATCAGCGATTGCGTCTTGTCCTCATTTATCTTCAGTTTGTTAGAGATAAACCATTCCTTGGCTCGCGTCAGCAGTTGTTCGGACTCCGCTTTGAGTTCTGGCAGATCTCGGCCTCGAGAGAACAAGGTGGTATCATCTGCAAACAGCAGTGTGTGGCCGTTTAGCGACAAGTCATTGATCATGACTGTGAACAGTAATGGGCCAAGGACCGATCCCTGCGGCACTCCGTGCAGCAGTACACCAACTCTAGAGGAGGCCCCACTCAGTGATACAATCTGTTTCCGGTCTTCAAGGTAGTCCGCCAGTGTTTTAAGTACCATCCCACTGATTCCATACTTGCTTAGTTTAGCCACTAGAATGTCATGCGAGACCACATCAAATGCCTTGCTGAGGTCACATAAGTCGAGTTGGACGGACTCACTGTTTTCGAACGCATCAGTTATTATCTCAGCAAGGTTTAAAAGGGCTGTGGTAGTTGATCTCCCGCTTCTAAAACCATGCTGGGCATTGTTAAGCAGGTCGTGGGTTTCGAGCCACTCGACAAGCTGTTTCTTCATTATGGTCTCAAATACTTTAGAGAAAATCGGTAAGATGGAGATAGGTCGGAAATTCGCCAAGATTTTTGGGTCCCCCTTCTTATAAATAGGTATGGTCCTAGCAGTTTTAAGGCTATCAGGAAATATACCCTTTGAGAGGCAGGCATTCACTAACTTGGTGAGAGGTACCACAATGGTGTCAATCACTGCCTTTAATACCGAGCTAGACATCCCATGAATATCCTGGCTTTTTGAGTCTTTAAATCTTTTAACTATGTTTATAACTTCAGCAGGACTCACTTCTCTCCATTTTGCAAATTTGCGAGCTGGCGAACGGTCTATCATAGCCTCTGTAGAGTCAGTCGGCAAGACAGGTAAATCGGCAATTACACTCTCTGCCACTTGAACAAAATAGTCGTTCAGTTCATCAGGTGTTGCCTGTATCTTAGGCCCTGGGCTTGGCTTACGGTGTTCATTTACTATTTCCCAGGCTGCTTTGCACGTGTTATGGGACTTTCTGATTTGTTCAACATTACTCAGTTTTTTGGCTTCTTTTACACTAGCACTGTAATCTCTTTTTGCCCTACAGTATAGAGAGAAGAACCTTTCTTTCCTATCCACATCTATGGCAGCTTTGTAGTGATCATGAAACAGGAGCGTAAGGGCTCGCATTTTAGCAAGTTCCGGAGTGTACCATTCCTTAATACTAGGCCTACCTTTTTTAGGGACATTTCTCTGTCTAAGCTTTGTATTTAGACTACTTCTCAATATTATTACTTATTTTTCTTGATATATTATGTCGTTCAACTTCCAGATAAATCATGCTTTGACCTTCCTGTTGGATAAAAAAATAAGGGACCAGGATCCTTCATTGCTACGTAGGTTTTTAATGAAGAAAGGGCTTAGAGAAGAAGAAGTAACAATTGTGTTTCAACGATTTGAGGATATTAAGAATGTAAGTAAAGTAAGTTTAGGCATATTTAAGTTTACATCAGCAATCTTTTAATAATCTTTAAACAGTTTAACCTAACTAACACGCAGTTAACTTAATATGCTCTTATGTAGGCCTAGGCCTACTGTTTAAAAAATGTTGACAGTGCGGAATTAACTATTTTACTATTGTGTCGTTTAATAAAAATCAATAACAGAATATTTGAGTTAATATAACAATAGGAGGTAACAGGTATTTAATAGGTAACAACATAAGTAAACAAGCACTGTTAAATCACGTGAATTTTTATTAGAGATTTAAAATTGGCAACAAAGTAATTCTATAAATTATGGTAATTGGTGTTCCAAAAGAATAGTCACTGTAAAACGTTTACATAATAAACTCGAAGAACCAGGTAACAAATGGACCAACATTTACGCACTAACCATTGGTTTGAAGTGGTATCACAAATTGTCCGCCATTGGACGCCAGGGCTGGAGACCCCATGGCCAGAGGACGCTGTTAACACAGCTCAAGAAGAAAGAAAATTGGGAAAAATTTAATCACAGAGATTTTCAGGTTCGATACCGCACAAAAGTTTGATAAATTATGATCACTCTAAAAATAGTCTTTGAATTTAATGCGGTTTCCTGGTTCAAGTCGAACTGCACACACACTGAGTACACTGAGAAAGAGGGATTAATAAATAAAATTGCGATTAAATGGGTTGACAGTGTTTGAAGTTCATGGTTTGAACCTCCACCTATCTCTTTCTCTCTCTCGTTTAGCGGTAAATTTGAATTTACGAAAAATATTTACAGCTTAAAACTAAATACTTAACAAGCACTAAGTCTCTTACTCTTACATTGCTGTACGAAATGTGTTATTAAATAGTTTGCCGTTGTCCTTAAAAAAACTAGTGCATTATGAGTACTACAACTATCCGCAGTACTATCCTGATAATTAGACCAATTCGTTTATACCGAGTCAAAAATGTGGTTTGGATTCCATTATAACCTGTAGGTCCCTTAGTTGACATTAGCTTATGGGCTATTAATTAACAGCCGAGTCTAAGAAATATGTCGGCCTTAGTCACTAACAAGACTACAATATCGTGCCAATCATCCTACACTCATCTCCATTGATATTTGGCTTAAAATACCTACTTTGTATGGTCACCATTTCAATAGAAAATATTAAAAGTATTAAAAAAGTATAACTTAATGTGTAGTTTTAAAAATGTTTAGGCATAACATTACAAACAAATTTCTCTACAGAAAAATGCTTTGGAGAATGTTGCGATGTCCAGTCAGTTAGTTCCGTCACAACGTTTCCTAGGCCCGCCATTACCCCCACCTCCTTCGTCATTGTGGGTCACCGTGCATCGAGTTGTCACGACCATCACTTCTATCGGAGGCATTGTATACGCCATCTACTGGCTTTGGAAGGTAAACTGGTGTTTGTTTAAGATAGTTTTAGCTTGTGTTTAAAATATATGTGTAATAAACCCTCAATTTGTTTATTAACTTTTTAATTAAAGTCTAAATCATAGATTCTTATTTAACGGCAATCTTCCTATGATCTTAGTCTACAACCAGCTTCATTTCACCTGACTCATTAGCTGCTGCCATGATTTTGTTGTCTGTCGCCCTTCTAGCTGAGCCACCAACTCTCCGCTCATTTTGATCAGACCACACATTGTGAGTCTGACAAAAACTGCAGCAATTATAATTTTACTAACTGACACAAACTCATCAGCATACATACATTTTGCTAAAGATATGTTTCTTGAAATAAACGGGCTAAAGTTGTCTCTAAATCTTTAAAATTTTACAGAAAAAAAGCACCACCTGGTTTACCATAGTAGCTTACAACTCCAAATTGTAAGGTCATTTTGCCTGGATGCAGTGTTTTCTTCAATTTCATTACATATGCAACATGTAGTAATACATATTAGGTTAATTCCTTTGGAAATATTAGTTGGAAAGTTAAGCCCGCTCTTACAAAGAACGTAATCTATATAATTCTCAATCCACGTATGTTGCAGACATACATATCTCCGTACCTTTTTGGCCGTCGACCCAAGAGGAAACCTGTAGATGAGAGCCTAGCAGAGCTAGGTGCTGCAGTCAGCAGTTGTGCTGCAGACCTGCGTACGCTACGCAGTGGAGTGGACGCTCTGACTGCGGACAGAGCTGCGGAGATGGTGGTCAACACTCGTCTGCAGGAGATCAAGTCCGAGGTGACCAGTCTCAAGAGCTTGCTTCTCAATAGGTACGGTGGTCTGTTTATGCAGGGGTGCCCAAAAGGGGGGCTGTGACGCAGACTGCGTCATTGAAATTCTTGGGGGGGGGTTCCAAAATTTCAAATAGGGGGGGGGGTGGCTAAAGTTAATTGCAACTGTGTTTAACGTGACGACAATCAATATAAAGTCACCAGATATATTGTCGATTAATTAATGACAATAGTTATATTATTGAATTCAATTAGTTAAAATAGGATTTTAGGATAGTTTAGGATTCGTGGAGGAAGTTATTATTCAAGATTAGCAAGACGTGAGATTTAAGAGGGAGGGCACGGAATGGCTCAGCTGATGTGTTAGATAAAAGATAACGCGTGGTACAGACACGTCCAGCTACACCGCGACTCAGCACAAAACGCTTTGTTGACATAAAACTTGTTAAAATACAATGAAGTAGCATAGGCTACAATACTTTACACTATTGTGTAGATACTCGATTACCTGAGTGAATAGGGAGGGGGGTATTGAAAAATACGGTTAATCCATTATAGTATAAATAAACATAACTTATTACAAACCCATTAAAACGCTGTAAATAGCCATTAACATCACAATTTGCATTTTTATAAACGAAATTCAATATTGCACAATCATTATTATTGTGCAATAACATTATTATTGTACATTTCAAATCATTTATCTTGGTTCAGTTGCACAAACGGAAACTTTAAATTATGGCTAACTCAAACTCAACTAATAACTAGCCAAACACTGCATTGCTATAAATAACGTAAATATTAAAGGACCCTTTAGAAAGTGTTATAAGCTACTGCTCATGATAGACGGAGAGGCTACCGGTAGGTGCTGTATCACAGCATAGGAATTGATAGATAAGTAACAAAAAGTGTAAAATTATATTTAAAGATAATAAAAACACTGTTAAAAAAGAATGTGACGAGAACAATCTTGTTATTCTTTTTCTTTGTTCTTAGGTTCTTTATTAGGTTTCTCTTCAATTCATACACAAATTCATCAAGTCGCCATATTTAGGCCTATTCATTGCCCAATCACAGCCTTACTAAAGTTACCATGGTTACTAATCACTCAATCACAGTTTACTAAGCATTATATCGTCACCATTCCCCAGCTGTTGTATCTGAAATCTGTTGTAACATAGCGCACAGCAGACAGAAGTGTAAAACGGAGCAGACGATTGTTGGCGCAAGCGTTGTTTCCATTTCATTTTCATCAAAGGAGCTATGATGTTTCCAAAGGGAGGGAGAGGCGATCGTTATATCAAGAGAAAGACGCTGACAATTCGTTAAGCAGAGGTTACGAACGCTATACAGATATTCTGGCAATACTGTAACAAATTCCTTAAATTGAGGTGACTTATAAAACTCTAATTTTGTTTAAATATAGAAAGATAAGTTTCCCAGTCCTGTACAACACCGATTCACGGTCTTTTCCCGGTAATCAAAATTAAAGTACAACTTAATACACACAGAATCTCCGGTTCCCGACCTGGATGATGGCTAGTTATTTAATTTAATTTACAGTTACATATACATATTAGTACCCGTGATAAATCAAACCCGTTATGTAAGCCAAAGCCACACGGTTATTAATCTCACTGGGTTTTGGATTTGCTTACAAACGTGATCGGAAATGGTTAGGGTCTACACAGTATTGGTATAAAATATTTATGTAAAGATATCAGTGACAGCTAGAAAAATGAATCTTTATCAAAACAGCTGTTCGTAATTTAATATATGACGTGTTCTTTTAACAGATTATTAGTATTTCATAAATGACGTATGTAGAACATGGAACATGGAGAAAAAAAAAACTAGAAAAATCACAAAAAATTGGGTTTTTGATCGTTCGTTATTTTATTTCCAAAATAGTGAGGCCATATTTGATTGGCTAAGGACACTCTCGCCAATCCTGTGAATACAATTAAAGCATTAGAATCATAATCGGTACTCTAGTTTTCTTTAGAGTAGGCTGCGTAAAATGCCTTCTGGGCCGTGACAGACGGACATAAATTATTGAGATAAGACATGTTTCAATTTCTTCAATGTATAAAACGTAAAAATAACCCAAAATATGTATAATTCTGAGCAATGTACAGACAAAACCATAACTTTATTTATATAGATTAACTGGGTTTGAATTTTCAATATCTAATAAAAACGTATAAAACTTCTTTTAGTTTTACAAATAGTGCTGGGCGGGGGAATAATGTTTCTCATTTGTTGTGTACCTCATTTATGGTGGGGGGGGGGCTGTTGCTCAATTGGGGGGGGGGGGTGCGTCATGAGTCTAGGGGGGGATGGGCACTTCTGGTTTATGGTATATCAATACAGTGCTAATAGCACAACCTGTAGTACCCGCACCACTAGTGGTACAGAGGCATATAATAACCAACACAAGTAGACTTCTTAACCCATTGTAAAATCTGAAGATTGTTTTTCATGTCTACTTCATGTTTATGTCACTGTGCGCTTGAGTCGATGAAATTTTGTCCCCTTGATCTAGTACTGTCTCCTAGGTGGGAATACAATGTCTTAGACACGAGGTTAATAAATCACCATTGAGCTGAAAAACTAACGAAATCAAACAAAGGGTGATAAGGAACAATGCAACTAACACATAAAAATATTCATAAGAGTGCCTGCAAGTTTTTACCAATAAGAGGAAGTAGCAGTTGTAAGAGTGTCAAATAATCAAAGGTTCTGGAGCAAGTTGATCTAGTGGCTAGTATTAAAGAGGGCTACAGTAATCAACGTCCCAGGCATCCTAGCAATCACAAATGACTTAAGCTATGTGATAATGGTGTGAGCCTCTTGGCCTAGCCTGAAGTAATAAGTTTAACGGTTTCAAACCAGAGCTCAGTGTCCTAGGATGTAGGGGCTTAAGACTTTAACAAATTAGGGTTCACTGTACCCTCTTCTGCTGTTGTTGTGTTTATAGCTGATATGGACACTCTGAAGACATTTATCAAACTTGTAATTTAACAAACTTGTAATTTAATAGTTTAGATTGTCAGAGTGTCAATGACATTAAAAAGCTACATAAATTTGTGTAAACATTCAGTTATGACCCTTCAGGAATCAGTTCCCGGCTACTCCTTCGACCGGGCCTCTGTCCATCCCCGCCTGGCAGTTAGCAGCAGAGACTCACTCCCGGGCGGAGGGTGAGGAGGAGGGGGAGGGGGAAGGCTCCAATGGTGGCACCAACGGCAGCGACAGCAGCCTCGAGATCGTCAAGTAAGAGTAAGAGTCTCTAGTTGCGTAGTCTAGGTTTACTTTGGTTTGTGAGTGTGTCTTGTAATCTAGTTACCTGTTCTGGGTTGGAGGGTAGCCTATAAACTGCTGGATTAAGCTGTGTTAAACCCATCTATATAAAAGTACTTATGTCAGTTCTACGAAATTGAGTGTGATTTATTCGTAATGTTTTAAATATTCAAATCATAGGTTTACCCATTCATTTATTTAGATGTTAAATTTTCACTTTAGTGTTTAAACGTTATTTTAAAATCTGTAATGAACCGTCAGTGACTTCCATTGTTTGTAGTTTAAGGATTTGATTTAGTACATTAAAATACCTCTTCGTAGCAAGGTACAAACTACAGACTAAGCATATTTCCATTTCCACTGAAATATTTCCTTCTACATATCAGATTCATTCCCTATTTGAATAAAATTTGGCTTACACTAATGAGTACTTAGGTTTGCTGTGACAGGGAAGTTTTAAAGTGTGTTTTTTTATTGAAACATTGATAGCTTGCAATTAAATATATAAATTAGCCAAATTTGATCAATCCACAAACAAACTACAACAGTTTCTTTATTTCTTGTATGAATAAATAATATATGGGATTTTAAATTTAAGGCTTTTTTATATTTGCTTGTTCCCTAGAATATGGTTAGTACATGATTAGTTCAGTATGAATCAGAACAGATCCTCCAGTTTGGCCTCTGGGGACTTAAAAATGAAATAGTAGATCAGTTCCAGGTCTAGGAAATGTAGTCTTCTAGGCCTATATGGGAAATTCACTTTAACATTTTGGTGTAGATAGGTGGATAAGTGCTTAAGTGCTGGCAAATATTTTCAACTATAGACTGAAAGGTTAAAGGATCAAAAATTTGTTAATCTAATATATATATACGTAGGTAGATAATTACTTGAGTTACATAATATAGAAACATAATATTTATTTATAACTGTAATTAAACGTGAGTTGTGTTGTAAAATTTCTTTTGACATTTTATGTCCTAATTGCTCTGTGAAGTGTCCATTACATAATTTCCTGAAAGTTTTTGTTTGTTTGGGGGTGAAATATCGTTGTATCCGTGTGAAAGGATTTTACATAATCCCTTTGTAACTGAATGTGGATACAGTGTGAGTAGATGTATAATGGAGTGAGCTCTGTGTAGCTCTCTTGCTGACTGAAATCAGCTGTTTTATAGCCAGGATCTTTTATTTTTTCCAATAATCTAAAAGCTGTGTCCATCTCTGAACCATAAAAAACGCTGAATTTTCTTAGGATCAAACCTGTGAATGGTTTATTATTCAAGCACTATTATACTCTGCTTGGTCATTATATTCTCCTCAAAAGAAGTTATATGGCTTGAAATGGAGTATTTTTAACTATCACCTTAGCCATATGTATTGATGAATACAGTAGAACCTCTTTAATCCGAACCCCCGTAGTCCGAACGTCCACTAATCCGAACCCCTCATTGCTGTACTCTATACACAGTACATCGGTTCTTTATTGTATACTGTATTTAATGTACAGTACTGTTTATTCACCATATTTACTACTGTATTAAATAAACACTGTATTTTAATTTATAAAATTTTTTTTCACTTTTCCAAAATAATTTAGATCAATTTTAGCCTCGTTTTAGCTATTTTTATGTAAAAACAACAATATGTTCTGTAATCCGAACTACCCCTGGTCCCAATTAGTTCGGATTAAAGAGGTTCTACTGTATGTAAGAATTAACTTTTGAAATTTGGAAATAACTTACCTCAAATTTTGGGTCAATTAATAAAGTTTTGAAATTGGCCCTTTCTAATGTAAGACAGGTATGGTTTTTATAAAAAAATGTGTTGATATAAATTTCAAATGGCTGCCATTTTGGATAGGCCTCTTAGTGTATCTTTAGTTGAAAAGGAGTTTTCAAAAGTCTTTTTATACAATCCAAAGTTTGGAGCATTCAAAACATAATGTAACGGCAGACCTAAGCTGAGTACTAAGCAGTATTGTGCCAAATATAAGATGGGTTAAAAATATATAATTTACCTTGCTCGGGCTTAAAATATTGAGCAATTCACTGTCTTTCTAACCCTTTATTACACGATTGACTTTGGATACTAGCCTACATTAAAATTCTCATCATGTTGTAAAATATAAGATGGGTTAAAAATATATAATTTACCTTGCTCGGGCTTAAAATATTGAGCAATTCAATGTCTTTCTAACCCTTTATTATACGATTGACTTTGGATACTAGCCTACATTAAAATTCTCATCATGTTGTAAAATATAAGATGGGTTAAAAATACATCATTTACCTTGCTCGGGCTTAAAATATTGAGAAATTCACTGTCTTTCTAACCCTTTATTATACGATTGACTTTGGATACTAGCCTACATTATAATTCTCATCATGTTGTAAAATATAAGATGGGTTAAAAATATATCATTTACCTTGTTCGGGCTTAAAATATTGAGAAATTCACTGTCTTTCTAACCTTTTATTATACGATTGACTTCGGATACTACATTGAAATTCTCATCATGTTGTAAAATTTGCTTTCATTTCATTTGGTTTAACACCTTGTTTTGATTGAATGCACCAATCTTGACTGAATATTTCTCTCTTATTTTAGGGTAGTTTTTCGTTGTATTTGCCTTTGTGCTTTATTCTTCAGTAAAACATACCAAGGACAAGTCATAGTTTACAAATAAATCGTTCTTATGTCATAAAAAGTAGCCTACAATACTCAATCATGGTTAGTGATTTTACATTCTACCTATGTTTTCATATTTAAGTGAACTAGAGTAGATGTTTGTTTAAATAACCAAAGAACTTACTTTATTTTAAATCTTAGTGCAAACTATGTGATTTATGTAAACACTGTGTATAAATAGGTTTGAAATTGATTCTTGTTTTTTTTTTTTCACCTTCACACTTATGATTTTTTTATACAATCAAATTTGTGGGTTTAGCTGTAAGTTGACAGATTAGGATTAGTTAATGGTTATTAAATTTTAACATAAAAACACTTTATTTATAAAATTGATATCCATGAGGTGAATAAGTTCAATGGACTAACCCTTTATAGAAAAGTTGCTAAAACTAACTCTGGTGTTGAAAAAACAAAAAAAAAATGCATTATTAAATAGCGTTTGTTGATCCCCATAAATTTTGTAACTTATTCTAAAAATAAATAGTTGATGTACTATTTATTTAATATTGATGCACTGAGTCTCCAAAAAATTTACAATTGACGATGAAGAATTTAGTTTTGAGATTTTTTAAGTCAAAACTAACAAGAACATTTTAACATTTTATCTAGCCTACAACAAAAGATTGAAAACAACGAATGTTATCATGAAACAATGTGTGTTTGCAGAAAATGATTTTAAGAAAAAAAGTACAGTTCATTCTCAATAGTCCGACATAATCAGTACGCCAACGCTATTGGCAGAAAAATACAAGCCTTCAGCAGCATCAATCTTCTCCTTCCAACTACACTTTGTTACTACTTCCTTGTTATTTTTTTTCTTTGATCAGGTATATATTTCGTTGGTACCAAAATTCTGAACATTTAACTGAATAGTAAAACACTGCATAAGAAAATAATTTTCATAAAACATGAATTAATGAACATTACTTGATGATCTGACATTTCTGGTAATCCAACACCCGGGACCTGTCGGATTATTGAAGTATAGAACAACTGTACACAAATATGGCTGTGTGTGTTTATTTTTTCAATGAAGCAAACAAAATATCAATTAAAGATTTTGAGACTGAATTTTAAGGTTTAATTTTAAGGTTGAAATTCGTTATATATATTCATTATACTGCTAAACTTTACTGATTGACTAGTTGCAGTGTCATTCTTGCATTGTGCCTACTTCTCGCTTCTTCTCTACTTCTTTGTATATCGGTCCAGTTAGTAGTTCTGCAAAAATTAAAAAACCAATAATTTAAGTGTGGATGGACATCAAACCATTGATCTACTAGAATAGTACTAATAATACCTTTAAACTATGATATTTTGGACCAATGACAGCTAACAGCTCTACCCTAGTCCTAGGAAGGAAGAAACCTATTTTTCATTATGATGTAAAAATAAGGATGTACGTGAGAGTTCTTGAACTTTTAAGTTATTTGTAATAAACATAAAATATTTGAAGCCATGTAAAGAAGAATTCGACAAAAGGGATTATTAATTTTTAAAAAGGTTTAACAATTGTAACCTTACAATAATGAAAGAAAATATCTTGACTGTTTTACTTTTCGTTCAATATTAATACAAGGAAACAATTATTACACAAGTGAAAATATGTGGATGCTATACAATGCCATACCCATATAAATGGACTTTTACATTAGGTTACTGAAAATACTTTTCAATTACATGCCAAAACAATAAAAAATTTAACTACTAGTATACAATGTTAACATAATAAAATATTAAAGTATAGAAATTTATAGCGTTTAATTGACAAGTATCATTGTGATGTTCAACACTAAATAACAATAGGTATAATTGTATAATACTGGTAAGTAGAAGTTAAGAAACAGCGCAATGCAGAGAAAAAAGTTTAATTTAATATTAACCATCATTATTGAATACTCTTTGGTTTAAAGGCTACCTGAAGCTTTCAAAATGAAAATGTGTCTCTCATACCATGAGATGTACTGGAGATTTCATCTATTAAAATCCATACTTTGAGTATATTTAAATGCTATGTTGTAAATTTAAATTTATACTCCTAGCTTTGAAATGTTGGAGAGTTGGAAGAGTATGTTAATCCACTCTGAATAAGTAGTGATTTAAAATTTCAACTTTGAATTAACACCAGCTGTCAGACCGTTTACAGTCACTAACATTATGTCTCATCTGTTTCATTGTAGATATGGTACAGCGTCTAGATTGCTAAATAAAAAAAAGTACTTGCTACAAGGCAATCAAAAATTGCATGGGTACAATTAGTTTTGGCCATCATCAAGCGGCATAAGGACAGGTTTCTCACATGAAGATCATCAAATTTGTAACATACGAAAATATACATTTAAAGACAAGACACATACACACACACAATACATTTATGCCAACTGATCAATTGATAATGAACAACGCTAATCCGGCGAAGTTTAAGTCAAGACTCTGATATACTCCCTTGAATGTTCAGGTGTTTTTGTTCTTCATTCAGGCTACAAGGAGTAAACTTAAAATAGTTTGTTTAAAGAACTTGACTCAACACTCACAATAGTCAATGAAAGTCCAAGTACCAATTCCAGTTGGTGGTGTATGTACATAACCAAAGTGTTTACTGTTGTGTACTCTGCTGTCCCCGTCTCACTCGGAAAGTCAGAGAGGAAGCACATATTTACTCTTTTTTCTGTTTCATTAGAACCTAAAATATATCAACACATTTTAGAATATTTAAAAAAATTTTGAAATGTATTTGGAGGTGATGGAGTTCAAGCCATGTCACATAGAGGTTATCATCATATTTTATTGTAGATCTCCACATTGCCCCGGAGAGTGGAGAGTCTAATAGCGACAAGTAGTTTACAAACTATTACAAATACAAATAAACAATGTGATTCCTGTAAAAATTGCTGTTAATTTCATACCTAATTTCTAAAGAAATAGCCCAATGCTTACTTATATTTTACTTGCGTACTTGTTGCATTTATTAGGGGAGTTTTTGTTGGGAACACTTGTAGCTTGTTGGTATGTGTTCAGCTCAAGAAACCATGTGGTTGTTGCAAATAAGGTTTTCCAAGTGTTTAGTTTCTTGTGTCTGTGATCAATACTGTCCAACAAGATCATGTCACCTCACACCACTGGATTGGCTGGACTTTGAGGTTCCTTGATGTAGAAGGTCTTTACAAACAAGCTCAGCTTGAGCTGAAGGATAAAATACATAGGTATCCATCAAATTACACAACAATTGAACATGAAACTGATTTGAAATTTCATCAAAATGGCAGAAGTCAGTTGGGCTGCACATGGTGACATAAATATTCATGTTTGGCGTCATATTCTTACAAATGTATCCAAAAAATATACCAAATATATAAACAAACATTTGGTTTATTATTTATTTTTAAATTTTAAATGGACAACCCTATATAATACCTACATGTCTGTAGACAACCCAAGCAGTCACCCGACCCATGGATTTGATGAAAGCAGCTGGTAGACCCACGGCTACCGTGACTACGGCTGTTGCAATGATAACTTCTACACTCATGGATCATGCAAACTACTTTCCACTGCAGTATGTTACTAAACGTAGAACTATATTGCGTCAAATGTAAAACATCTGTGTAATTGACCAGCAACATATGTTCACAATCTAACAATTATTTCTCTCTCAAATAACCTTTATTCCAAGTCATTTACAGGTTAACTTTCAAATTGACCTTAAAAAAAACAACCTATTCTAAAACAATTCATTGTTGTGAGCCTAGACAATTAAAATGTACACATAAATTTATAATCTCAAACTACACTAGATATTTAAATTACATACCACTTTGGTATTTGAACAAAATATTTTAAGATGGTAAATAACTCTTCAGCGGCTGTTTAAAATTAATCATTGCTCATCATTAATTGCTCATCATCATTAATTCTAAACCTCCCATAGTTCCTTAATGGCCCCCATTGCTGTAATGTTACGGTAGTGCAACTTAAGTGATTTTCCCCATAAAATATCACAGCTACTCCCGAACTGCTCACCCATCATGATAAACGTAGTTGACAAGCTAATGGGGGAAAATATGTGCCAGATTACTGATACTGTTTATTAAAATAAGTAAATAGTCTATAGAATTGTTACAAATTATATAAAAAAAGATGCTAAAAAAGTAATATTAATTTGTTTTAGATTGACACTTTTTGTTTGAATCGCTTCTTCCTGTTTTTAAGAATCCCATTATCCTGACTAAGGTTTTAAGTTATACAACGACAAAGAAAAATTATTTCAACTAATTGTTATGAATCTCTGCAACTTGGAAGCACATCCGATGGCTAACATAATAACAATGATAAGTGATTTATAAGCTAATAAATATTTCATTATCATAATTATGCCAGTTTGTTGTTGATAAACTTTTACCAATATTTCTTATCCAAAAGTTAAAATTAAGTTTTAGTTGATTTGGTTTTGAAAGTGGCATTGTCTATTCAAAAATAAAATGGAATTCAAAGCTATAAGAGATTTGTTTGACCACGATGACGATGGAAATAAGAGACGACTCTTCTCTACAGAATTTAAACTTTTTGGGCTGTTCGACAATTCACCTCAAGGTACAAGAACCTTTGTATGAATATCTTTATGTATAAATATTTTCTTCATAGCATACATTTTACCTCAAATTTTCATTAATCACAAAGCACAACTTATAACCTTTGAAATAGAATTAAGCTAAAAAAAAATTATTTTTAGAAGAAATGAAAAATTATACTTACTAGTCTCCCTACCATTTCTAAAAATAAACGCTGTAAAAAAGTAGCATATTGACTTTCTAAGTTAATGAGAAACTTTTAAACCTTCCTTTTAGATTGGTCTTATTTTCAATCTACAATGTAGATAACAATTCGTCTAGGTAATTACGACAATATGTTTATGCTTTTATTATTTCTATTTTTGTTTTTGACATGTCCAATCGATCAGTGCCAATCGATTGGACAACATTCTATATTTTAATAACAAATTTCAACAAACAGTACCAGTATTGCTAGCAGGTACATTGGTGTTTAAAAAATCTGCTTCTCTGAAGCTGTAAGCTCGTGTTTACATTATTAGAGTTTGCATTCCTCCTCACATAACTATAAGTGTCAACCACAAAACTCACATGCTAGTAGTGGAAAGCAAGCCCGATTCCCGAATGATATGTTGGGAAATGCTGGCACGCTCTCATATGATATCTTTGTGAAGATCATTTTGAAGATAACAAAGTGATGTACCTATCACATTGACATTATAATTATACTTTTCTTTTTCTTACCTGCTACATTACTCAATAATGATTGTTTAACATGTACAAATAATTAAATACTGTACTCAATGTAAAATTTTCAGGGGTAAATTTTCTAATGGAGCTTCAACACTGTTGTTTTTTCCAGGATACATAAATAAAAAGGTAGGTGTACATTTATCTTACTTTATTACATCGTACTGATTTAGTTTTTTTAGGTTTATTTCACAACTGGACAATTATTGTCATATCGCTTTTTAATAGAGGTTTAGAATTTAGAGGTTGAAGATACTGCAAAATTCTTTACAGTGAAATTTTGCTTGGCTATCATCATTGACTTTGAATAGTCTAAGTCTAGATTTCTCTTCCTATCTTCCTAAGCTTTTATCTTTCCGTTTCTTGGTGTTGACACCAGCTAGTGTGTTTCGTTTCATGTTGGGGACGTTTAAGGCTGGTGTTGACAGAATGTTTTTTCTATTATTTTAAGGTCAATTCGATCATTTGTGATTTTATGTTGGGTTAGAACGCTAGACAATCTATTGTTTTTTATTAACATAGATCGTTTTATGCTGATCCATAGGGATGATATATCTATGAGAGGGTTATGTTTTAGCTATATGCTATAATCATAGTGAATGATTTGGATTTTCATTGACTACGGTACTAATAACAATTCTGTTTAATACACTCAGTGGCATAGCATTGTTTGCAGTTTGTAAATTTTATGTTTTTCACGTAAACCCCCATTCCCATAGTCCGGTCATGCTGGTTCGCAAACTCGTTCGAATAAATGTAGGTTTACATGTTTATACCAAATTTAATAAAAATCGGATCATTTTTGCTCGAGTTATCGTGCGAACCGACATATATTATATGAATTTAAACGGATGGTGCATGGCCTCTAGGTACCCCAAAACGAAAAAGTTGATCGGTCCCGGGTCCAGGTCTTACCATGAGTACTACCTATTTGGGAAATTCGCTATAAACGCACACTTAGTTCAATAACTATCCATGATTTTTTCAAAGGGTGTGTCGAGATTTTTTTAACATGATTTGGTATAGCCACTCAGTGACATAGCATGTTTGCAGTTTGTCTGGTCCACTGCCGGGTTTTTTGGACTGACAGGTTGGTGCAAAGCTGCACCTGAGCTTGACTGTGTGTTTGGCTTCCTAGAAGGACCCAAGAGTTATATGGACACTGTGTGAGTAAAATAACATGCATTCATCATAATACCTTTTGGTAAATTCCCATACAGAACTTGTGCATCAAATTCAAACTCCTAAATCAATCGGCGACGGCAGGGTTCAATCCCCAATGACACAGAAAAAATGCAAAAACAATTGTAAACGTGGATCATTAAATTAATGTTTTTTACTGGAGGGACTAAGCTCTAAATTAAATTACCTCTAATTAATCTCTAATTGGCAGTCTAGATCACAAGCTGTAAAAAGACGTGTCAGCCCTAAAAATCGGTTGAATATTTGAAAACTGAATTAATTCGAGTAAGAGGTTTAAATATACTTTCAGATAGATGGATAGAAGATTGTTGTCAGTACAATATGAAGTTTTTATCAAGTTTATATCAATCATTGCAACAACAGTAAAAAGTTAAATTATTTTTTTTTAGTTAAGTTTCTATGCCCATAGAACCACACCATAGGTTCTATACTCATAGAGTATATGGGCTGACTGGGCTTTATCCCAGAGAGACATATTTTTAATATGGTGACAGATATCCAAAAATGTTGGGGGAAATTTGATACTGGCTACAGCCCAAGGCACTATTGTTCTAAGCCAGGCCATATATATATTTAGTATACTATAGTGGTATTTTAAAAGAAGGTACCTAATACCATGGACAAAAGAATTGTTCTGCTTGTCTGTGGAACACAAAAATGCTTTTGAGGGAAAGTGGTCCTAACCTAACAATTTTAAAATTATTTAGTTTTTTACAGTTGTTACTTTACCCTATTGCAGGAAGTACCTGCTACATCCAGATAACATACAAGTGGTGTTTGTGGGAAAATCTATTTTTCAATGGCCTTACAAGGAAATCGAAAAACGAGAATTTATTGCGTTTTCTTTTCACGACTTTGTGGTTACTCCTGAAACGTAAGTATTCATAATCAAAAATGGTTATGTTTTAAATTTATTTGTACTACAGTATTCTACACAAAACAAGATACGCCCTGCAACTTTTCTAGTTGATGGTTGACCTGTTTTAAAGATATTCAGTACCCCAAAGTTTCACATTATAATTTCATATCGACATTTACTCCATTCTTTGTTTGAAGTTCATTGTTGGTGATGGTGAGTTAATGTTGTTCAAAGGTTTATTGCGGACATTTTCCATCACGAAAGTAAAAAACAATACACAACGTTTTGGGATCTGGAATCTGATCCCGTCTTCAGGTGAAAAAACTTAACTAACACATTACAACTAACTTAGGTTGGGCGTTTGTGTATTGTTAGTTGTAATGTGTTAGTTAAGTTTTTTCACCTGAAGAAGGGATCAGATTCCAGATCCCGAAACGTTGTGTATTGTTTTTTACTTTCGTGATGGAAAATGTCCGCAATAAACCTTTGAACAACATTTACTCCATGTTGTTATATAAGCAAAACTGTTTCAGTAAGAACCATGTTCTTAATAAGTATAAAGTTAAATTTATGTTTTTTGTTAACAGGTTCAGCAAAGTATTGTTACTATTTCAAACACCTGTAATCCATGTCCAATTGGAAGTTTTTAAAAAGTAATATTACAAAACAAAGATTAACGAATCAAACAATGTAAACAGAACCTCTTGGGCTGTTAGAGGTTCAGATGTGAGGATAAGATCCAAGAATGTGTATAAAACATTAATTTAAAAGTAGGTTATGAGTTAAATACTGACCCTGTATTTATTTATAACAGTTTTATCGGATCATTTTCAAATTAAACTAGTATATAATGTCTAATTTTGATCAGATGTCAGAGAATCAGATATACAGTGAAATATTTCAGTTTAGTAATAAGTTTAGTTTCAGCTTTGTAGAGAAAGAAATTATTAATAGTCTAAAAAGCTATTTTAGTATGGGCTATGGCTATGATGAGGTTCCTGTGGATTCTGAAAAATCAGACCAAGACTTTGTGGACACCCGGTAGATCTTTTTGTGTAAAAAGTGTGTGAATAGTTTATTTTTTTTTAGATTTAGCCGTTTGGCAATACTTTCAAGAAACTATACATACATTCAGTAATTTCAATTGAAATTTCTCTTTATGGCTCGCAACCAATAAGGGCAGCTTAAAATCTTTATTAAGAATGCAATAAAAAACTATACGAATAATTTACAACCCTTCACCTAGACCTTCTGTTAAGAGAAAGTTAAATCAGAAAATAACAGTTTTTGGTATGCATGTTTTTGAGACAATGGTATCAGTTAAAAACATATTTCATGGAATTGATGTGGTTGAAAAGAAACATGATAATATTACAAGAAATAGAGGCAGCTTAGCATAAAGTCCTCATAAATTGCCTAAAACGCCAGTACAAAATTCTTTAACTATCTTCCAAAGGACATACAAGTAGAAGTAACTGTAAAATACATCCGCAGCAGCAAACCTGAAATTTCTCGCCATGCTATTTATTAATTTGATGAACTGTAATTTACTTGTCTTTCCCTACTAAATCAAACTTCATATGTTTTAACCTTATTTATATCTATCGTTTTATGTTGGTTTTTTCTTTTACAATTTTTTCTTATCTACTGTAAGTATATACGAGGGCACTTCGGAAAATAACCTCCATGGGAAATTGAGGGGGTAGCGCTGCCATTTTTGCTTCTGCGCGTGTCGCAGGTCAGTCAGCGTCCAGCCGTGGTAGTGTGAAGGTCGTCTGAGAGCTAGTTTTTTTGCCGTCGCTAGTCAAAATGAGTACTGCAATCGTAAATCCCGCCAAGTGTGAGGTGCGTGCTGTGATTTAGTTTTTCGTAGCTAAACAGTATTTGGCAGCAGCCAAATTCATAGACAACTTTGTGCTGTGTATGTTTAAAAATGGCCGAACGAACGTGCATGATGAAGAAAGAAGTGGCAGGCCATCTGTGGTCAGTGATGAACTGGTTGAGAAAATCAACACAAAGGTTCGTGATAACCCACGATTCACCATCTCAGAACCTTCGGATTAATTTCCTCAAACTTCCAGCTGTACGAAGTTGTGACTGACAGGTTAGGTTACCATAAATTTTGTGCTCGGTGGGTCCCAAAAATCCTTTCAGAAAACCACAAGACTCGAATGACCTCGGTGGACTTTTTGACTCGACGAGGAAGGAGAACATTTTGTGAACCGAATTGTGACTGGAGATGAAACCTGGGTCAAATACGTGAATCCTGAGACTAAAGAACAGTCTAAGTTGTGGGGTCATACGGCATCGCCACACAAACCAACAAAAGCCCGGCAAGATTTTTCCAAAAAGAAGTTCATGGCAACTGTGTTTTAGGACTCCAAAGGGGTGCTGCTGGTTGAGTTTATGGAACGTGGTGCAACAATCAACGCGGATTCGTACGTTGAAACGCTGAAAAACCCGAAACGGGCGATCCAAAACAAACCCCGCAGTCTTCTGTCGTCCTTCTGCATGACAACGCACGTCCTCATACTGCCCAAAAAACCAAGGACCTTTTGTACCAGTTCAAATGGGATGTTTTTTCACATCCTCCATACAGCCCAGACCTGGCTCCTGGTAACTACCACCTCTTTGAAAAAATTGCTTGTCTCCCAGCGATTTGATGATGATGAGGAATGGAAAGATGCAGTCACAGGATGGCTCAAGGCATTGGCGGGTGATTTTTTTTAAAGAGGGATTTTCAAAGTTGGTCCATAGATAGATAAGGGTTTAAATGTCCAAGGAAACTATGTTGAAAAGTAGAGGAAAGACATAGTTTTAAGATGTATATAATACAAATTTTGTTGCTACTTCTGTGTTTTATTTATAGAGAACCGGAGGTTACTTTCCGAACAGCCCTCGTATATTTTATTATGGCTTTTTACCATTTAAGAAATGTAACACTATTCATCTACAGTGTGATTGAAAAGTCACGGAACGGTCAAATATTTTAAAAAAAATAATACAGATAGAGCTAAAATACTTAGTACAAAGTTACACAGGGCATAAAACTCTATTTTAACACATATTCAGTGATCCGATAATTCTTTAGGGGGACGGCCCACAAGGAGTCGGAAGAAAATCTTAAATGAAAGCATAGGTCAATATGCGCATCAAATTAAAGGTCTTTTTTAGTAAAATACAATGCCGCAAACCGCACTTCAAAAGGTTGATCCTGCACAAAATGGCAGATGTTCAAAGATTTCTTGAATCCGCAATTTTGAATCTTTGAACGACAGCCATTTTTTAATCAGGCATTCTTTTGAGCTTGAATTTACGGCATCGTAATCTAAAAGTGAAGACCTTTGAGGTGCATATCGACCTATTCTTACGTTAACAATTTTCTTCCGATTCCTAGGGCCGTGCCCCCTGAGGAGAAAGCGTATAATAGCAATGTAAATTAAATGAATCTTTGAACAACTGTCATTTTGCGCAGGATCAACCTTTTGAAGTGTAGTTTGCGGCATTGTATTTTACTAACTAAGACCTTTAATTTGATGTGCATATTGACCTATGCTTCCATTTAAGATTTTCTTCTGACTCCTTGTGGGACATCCCCCTGAAGAGTTATTGAGTCACTGAATATGTGTTAAAATAAGAGTTTTATGCCCTGTAACTTTGTACCAAGTATTTTAGCTCTATCTGCATTATTTTTTAAAATATTAAACCGTTCCGGGACTTTTCAATCACACTGTATATATTCCTAATGTACTTGATGAATAAAGATAATTTGAATTGAATCAAATGTCAACAAAGTTTTCAAAGATAAAATTCATCAGCCTTTTCCTCCCTTTTCTAATTTTGCAGATAAACATTACACTAGGTTATATACTTGTTCAAAGTTATTAGAAATATAAAATTCTTTGTAACCCATTGAACACTTTTTATGCTAGGTTATTTTGTTATAGGAAATCCTTTTTCACCCCTAGAGAGCCTAAAGAAATGTTTGCTCAAGCTATGGTAACTGATCCTGAAGCACGTGAATATATCCGCAAAATAAACGCATCTTGCTACCAAGAGGAGCCACTTGAAACGGGAAATCTTGAAACATCAATATAAATACTTATTTTGGAATCAAGAGAAATATTATTCAATGATTTCTAGATAGGGTCTTTCTTTCCAGGAATTGATTAGGAACATATTTTGTTTTCCTTGGCATGTCTAAGCTCATAGCTTGGTAAATTGAATATATGCTCTTTTATATGAAACAAGTGAAATTTATTAACCTTACAACGGGGATTCTGATAGCTAGGCAGGTCCACTTTTATAAACGGGCAGACTTGGCATATGCCCAGGGGCGCCGAAGGTTTGGGGGCGCCCACCGGGACCCCTCAACCACAGCCTGCCCCACACTAGGAAAAAATAGGGGCACTGCATTTGGGTTTGCCCAGGGCTCCACTGACTCTTAACGCGGCCCTGTAAGCTAGGTAGTGCACTTGAGTGTCTAAGAGACTTATGGATTTGAAAAACGTAAAAAGCTTATTCAACATTACACTGCCCTAGTGAAGGACTCCCATCTTTGTACTGTCTTTGACTATTGATACAACTAGACATACCATGCCGCCAGTTTTTAAATCAATTTCGTAGTAGTTGATGTGAGCACCATAAAGATTGCGCTGATCTAAATTAATAATTTCTGTCGAATACACTATGTTTTTAACGAACTCAAACTTATGGAATGACTTATTGTCAGCTAAAGCAACTGTTATGACTTATCAACTATGTCAGCAACAAAAAATTTGGTAAATGATAGAGTTTTAGACACTAGCGCATTCTGTGACTGGCTCACACAACATTCTTTTTTAGTAAAAAATTTGCAACAGCTGGTCCATATAGGTGGTAAGTCTACTTCTATATCCAATTAATTGTCAATGTTATTATCATTGAAAAATGAAAACTGGTTCATTAACCCATTGGCTTATGAATATTTAGGGGCCCTGCAAGCCACTGAGTTAGCCTATTAAAATGCAGGCGTTCTTTATAAATTCATAAAAGGTTTATTTTTGAGGTTGCAAGATAGCAAGTTATGTTAATTTACTCAAAATAAAATTGCCTTCAATAACAATTATTTTAAATTTTAAATATATTAAAAATTCTAAACAAAAAAAATTATATTTTCTGAGAGCATGACAATTTTAGTTACCACCTAAAAAGCCAAAATATCTTTTGCACCTTACATGTATATAAAATACAATTCCCAACGTAAAAAAACTAAATAGATAAATAAATAACAATTTTACAAGTTTTTGTAAAGTACTAAAAATTGGAAAACCCTATTTTTTTAAGCTAGCAAAAAAGCAGGGCTTTCTTTATAAATGTATAAAACATTTCTTTTTGAAGTTACAAAATAGCAAGTTATGTTTATTCTCTCAAAATAAAATTGCCTTCAATAATTATTATATTTAAATATAATAAAAAGTAAAAAAACAATTTTTGCCTAAAAAATAACATTAAAAACAAATTTATATTTTTTGAGAGCATGATAATTTTATTTGCCCAAAAAAGCCAGTATCATTGCCAGTATATATATTCTTTTGCACCTAACATTTATTTAAAATACAATTTCCTATGTAAAAATACAAAACATATAAAAGTAGATAAATAAATAAAAATTTAACATGTTTTTGTAAAATACCAAAAGTTAAAAAAATATGAAAAATATTTTTTGAAATCTAAGCCAATAAAATGTTCCGTGATACAAATTTGGAGCCCAATAGAGCCACCACAAACTAGTTCCGTGACAAGGCCAATGGATTAGGTTGAGAGCTTCAACAATTGGGCAGTTTTATAATTGTGATCCTTGTATTTGCCCGTCGACATAGACTAACTGCCCGTGCGTGGAACGTATCCAGCAAAGCAAAGGGTGAGCCGGTACAGTACAAAGGTGTGCTGTACTGATAAAATGTTTTTGGCAGTAACCAGGATCCGAACCCACATCGCTGCCTTGGGCCTGAAGTCCGTGACGCTACCAACTGAGCCACCGACTCACCAAAAAAACTTATCTTTTTTTGAGTTTTATGAAATGTGTTTACTGCTTGAAGAAAATGTATGTTGTATGAAATCAGAAGCTTAGTCATAAAACACTGAAACAGGATGATGAATAAAACAAACTGCAGCACCTTTCGGTTTGTATTTCTCTCTGTGGAGAAATGATTTTATGTATAATCAATAATAATAATTGTAATTATTATTAAATCCATAATTTCAACTAGTTCTAGTTCGACGACAACTCAGTCCTCACTCGATCACATTCACTCGCCGCCTTACAAAATAAATAATACATTGTTTAAAAAAGTAGTCCTTACAAACAAGAAATAATAATAATAATATACATAACAATTTCACAAAACCAGTGTTATTCGATCGGGTTAAAACATCCCCTATGAGAAAAAGAAACACTCGACCGAACGTCGATTCACATCCGCACTAAACGTATCTTGATAACGTCAGTGTTTTTACAATTAGTATATGTATATGTATAATATCGAAGCACAGTTATATTTATATATTTATATTATGGAAGCTAAGCATGCCCAAAGCAAACCGCCCACTTTCTAGAGTCTAAATTATTTAATAAATATGGTAAAGTTAAAATATAAACATCGGTTTACTCTGGGCTTACAATTTGAAAATTTTGAAACAATTTTTGAAATTGTAACCTATTTTACCTTTGTATCCATAAAACAAGAAAAAATCGTAACAGCTGTATTGTCTTAGTTGATACTAGTCAAAATAAAATTTTGGAATGATTAAAACTATTATCACAAGCAACTAAATGAGGTATCAGACAATAATATTTTAGCCATAAACAACTTTGTGATTCTTTAATGGTATAAACAATCTTGTAAAATATTAATCAGCAATATAAAAAACACAACTATACAACAACTCATTGAATGGCTGTTCATTTTTGTCAATAAATAAAATAATATTTATGGGAATTGTAAACATATAAAAAATATAAATTATTTAATGAATCTGTATGTTGACAGAAGATCGAGTTGAGGGACATACCCTCAACACACTTTACAAAGCCTATCAAGATGAGTATATTTGTACTAGGAGGCCTACTGTAAAAAAACTGTGTCAAATCAAATCTAGTTTGTGTCTTATTTGTGGCTACAGATTTGTACTGCCTAAATTATGCAGTGTGGGAAATATTAGAAAGAGTTGTCTGGGCCCTTTGATCATTAAAGTAGATTTTACTTTTTAACAGCGTTCAGTAAATGAACAATTACAACTAAAGGTTATTGCCAATACTGGCATCTTAAAACAGATACTCTCATATGATAAAATCGAGTTGTATAGCTCAATGAAACAAATTATTGTAATCCAACAATTAAAATTTACATCAAAACACAGATATTTTAGTCATTGAAGGGAAATGAAAATTTGAATAGAATGTAATGATAAGAAGCATATTTTCTAGTCTGAGGTACTTTTACAAATACGGCAAGAACAAACAAACAAATACTGAAGAATTAGACAGTATTGCAAAAACAAACAACAAATAAATCAAATTGATTTGAAAACAGTGAAAAAAATTTGCCTCAGCTTCGCTTTAAATTTGCACACTTACAATCATAGTTTTAAGGTATAATTAATTGCTTAACAGTAAAAGGTTACAATAGTCAAAAATTGTTGATGATACAGAAAGACTAGGAGGGTTGGTACATCTGTGAATAACGCTCAATAAACGACAAAAACATGTCAATGTGGTCAATAGTGTTTGCTGTCAAAGGAGGATGTTATTTAAGTTTTTCAATTAGTCAATTAATTATCTCAAGTATTTATAAACATTACAAAACCTACAGTAATAGCATTTTCTCTGTAGGCAAAATTCACTCAAAAAATAAATCATTGGGTAAATAAATAATTGTCTTTTTGCCAAGCATCATTGTCAAAATGTTCAATTCTATTGGAATTTAAAGCTGAGTAGGCCTGCTCAACATAGTCAAAAACCAAAATCATTTAAATTTCTATGATAAAGAATCTTTTTCTCAGAAATAGCCGATCTCTTTAAATAACTTTTTGTTTTATCAACAAGAAAAACAGAATAATACAAATAAAATGTATAAAAATATAAATGTATAGAAACACAAGAAATGTAGAAATGCGGTGGTTGCACGAGATGTACCAACCGTTGGACGTGGAGACAGGTGCTTACGCTAGGCAACAATATGTACATCACTTCACTCCGGGAGCGTCCTCAGGAACAAGCTTTAACTTCACACACCACGTGACAGTCTGCGGATTAAAACTTTATTCATCATTGCACAACTCACTCTCACATGCTCGTCATTTGTGATGAGCGAAAAACAACAAATGTATTTCAAGTATATAAATTAAATTTCCAGTGGAGGAATTCTACACTAACAAGATTGGTTGGTACAAAAGAATGTAAAAATTAAAATTATGATTTTTTATCGATTTTTCCATTTGATAAAATCTTATTAGATTTGAACCCTCAAACTATTTTTGACTTACAGTTGTAAGAGACACAATATCACATAGCATTTTAAATACATAAATTAACGGCAGTTGAAAAATCTTTATTTTTCTACAATACTATGATTATTATGTCCTATGAATGATTATGTTTGCAAACACTGTTAATACCACACATTGAAAACATTACCAATGATTTTGGTACCTACGTACGTTTCTTCAAATTCCCAAATAAATTAAATTTTTACCTTAGCAGGAGCAAAATGAAAACAAAAATAATAACTAACTAAACTTTTTATTTCCACTTAGTTAAAAATTGGACTATTATACATAAAATAAAAAATCAGACCTATAAGAAATAATTGTTAAAATAAAATAACAATAAATAGGCTAGAGCGCAGACAAGAAATAGTTACAATAGTCAGTGATGAATAAAATTTTAATCCAAAGAAAACCTTACAGATAAACCAACTAAACTGTATCGATCCGCTTGATAATTTACATTCGTACGACGCGCAGCAACCGAGGTATGTGAAATTAGTCTCAGAGAAACACCGCACGACCGGGTATCACAGAACCGTTTTTATAAAAGTCTCAGTCGGTCGGTAGGAACAATAACAGCAGCACGGCGCGACGCAGTAGTGTTAACGACTAGATAACAAGTGGGGACGCGGCGGTTGTTACGAGGAGGAGGATGCATTCATGCCGCTGAACATGCCGGTGCTGAAGCCAGCTGACGAATGCTGCTGACTCTGTTGCTGCTGTTGTTGTTGCTGCAGACTGCTGAGGTTGCTGCTGCTAGCCGCAGACTGGCGTCCGTGCTTGGGCACCGGCGGTTGCAGGTAGTCGTGTCGCGCCAGTGCCATCACGTCGATCCTGTCCTCCTTACGATACGCAAGACAAGCTCGGATGAAACTCTGTGAAATGATTACTTGTTACTAGTTGTAGCCAGTTGAGATCTGAGGTTTTAACTGATACTGAATCTAACAAAATTATAGATTTCTTTAGAATATAATTTTTTTTGTGTTTATTTTTAGTAGTTACTATCAATGCCTAAAACAATGAAAACAGCTTACAAAAGTCAATATATAGAAGGCCTGTGCCCTTTTAATTCCAAGTACTCGTACAATAGAACTCCATCCAGATAAACTGAAACTGAACGTTTTAAAAACTGGGGGGGGATAACAAATCACTTAAGGCTAAGTTGAATGGTGTTTGTATTGGGAAGCTAAGCTGAGCTGTAAGGCAAATTATAAATAATATGATTACTGTACCTTTGCTTCACTGCTGACTGTAGGTTTGTTGGCAAACTGTACTTCGGTTGCCTTCAGTATTGTGTTCTCTTCTAGGATCGTGGCTTGAGATTGGTTGTGGCCAAATGGCTGCAAAACATTTGAAAATGTATTAAAAAATATAAGAAACTACTTACTAGTCATTACCCATTTCTTGCCTTTTTGGAATCTGTCGCGTAAAGAAAAAAAACATTATCTTATCTTTTAGTAATTGACATAAGTTTTATACATTATATTAATTGAGATTATTGACAGTAGAGATAATCTGATTCTTGATGCAACCAATTATTCGACATTGGTATCAGTATATATTGTCAATGGTCGGTGCTGGTATACCAACTAGGCCTGTTCATAAAATATGACAATAATAGTTTAATGAATGCTTTAAAATTTTTACAGCATATGTTAATCAATTGACAAAAATTTGGCAACAAAGTGGAACATTGACACGAAATTTATGAAAACGTACAACCTACAATAGAAAAAAAAATTGTTGTCACACTTACCTTTTTGCCATAAAGACACTGGTAGAATATCACACCGACGCTCCAAACATCCACTTTGGAGGAGATTTTTGGAGGGTTTTTGCCAACGACAAAACACTCTGGAGGGAGATACCTAGGACAAAATTACACTTTAATACACTGTACTGTAAATTTAGAACATTATCAAACATTACTTTGAATGGTCAAGTTAAAACTAACCAAGCTTAATTATTATTTATGTTATAGCTTCACATTTTTGGATTGGCCCAGAACCGGTACTTCAAGCTAGACAAATAGAGTGACAGCATTATCACATACCTAAAAGGGGGATTTGAGCCTGGAACTTAGAGGAGCACCACTTCTCTAGCTTGCTCCCGAATTTGCCTAATGTACATGTTTTAACAAACCTCATCCTAGGTGTCAGAATGATTAGCAAAAACATACTTTGGTTATAGAACATATAGATCAAATAAGTTAAATTCTAAAATTTTTCATAATTTGTTTATGAAATATTTGGGTTGTCCCATCATTGGACAACCTTGAATAACCGGTAAAAACCTAAAGATTGGGGTATTGGTGTAAACTGTACTGCACTTAGCATTGACGACTTTTGACAGTTAGATACTGACCAGTAGGTGCCAGCCCCTTGCGAGGTGAGGTCCATGCCATGGTCAGGGTTGTAGTTCTCCTCATCCATCACCTTACTGAGGCCAAAGTCTGTGATCTTGATCTCCCCACACACGTTGCCTTCCGTAAGTAATATGTTGCCTGGCAAACAAACACAATTACCTCATCACTTTATAAATTAATAATAAAAAAATATTATGAGGCGTAATTCTATACATAACTTGTGATAAAAAGGAAACAACAAAATCTTTCGACAGTTTGTTTGAAACTCTTTTCATGACATTTCAGGTGGCAGATGAAAAGAATTTGCTACAATATTTGCAAGTTTACATTTTAGTCTGGATATGTCTTCTAATCAACTACATAATCAAAGTTAAATTGCTCTGATGCAGGGTTACTTAATCTGAGGCTTCACCAAGGCAAGTTTTTTCTATGGTGTTTGGACAAAAAAATCCTCCTATATCTCTAATAATTGTAGTTTTGTTTTAATTTATTTAATTCGTTTAAGTGCCATTTTTGTATACAGTAGACAACTAAGTGTCTGGATCAATTAAACCGACCCCATCCAAATAAGCCTAATCACAAATCCAGATAATTGGATTTTTAAGGAGAAAGTTGAACACAACATATAACTCCTTGAGAAGGCCAACAACTGATGGAAGACAGGACACTAGGCAGATCAATACGACACTGCAATAGACTCAGAGCACGATGAACACAATTGACACACATTAAAATTAGTAACAAATTATTTTAAACTGCAATTAGCATAATTATCCTGGCCAATTTGACATTTTTTCTCCTTCAGGTGATCCGGATAACTGCAGTTTACTCACCAGGTTTGAGGTCGTAGTGTATGACGGGAGGTTTGATCTCGTTGAGGTACTTGAGCGCAGACACCACCTGCATGACAATGCTGCGAGCCTCGCGCTCCGCGATGGTCTTGTGTTGCTTCAGGTAGAAGTCAAGGTCGTGACCGTCGCAGTACTCGAGTACCGTGCAGAAGGAATTGGCGTCTATCTCAAACACATCGTACAGCTTCACCACCCGCGGGTGGTCTAGCGCCTTGTGTATGTTGTACTCCCTCAGCGCGTGCCTGCAATACACAGTTGCTACTGTAGTGGAGCTCACAAGCTTACAACAACAGTTAAAATACTCGGCTAAGGATGGGCAAGATTTGTTTTATAAAAATTTAAATTAAATTGATTTTAAGTTCTGGCACTTTTGGACATTTCTACCTTGAATATCATAAGAAAATTACTTTTTAGAGCGTAAATGATTTTACCTACTGTCATTTTTTGAAGTAGGCCCAGCCTTTTCAGTTCAGATCTTGGAGATGAAAGGTTTCACAAAACAGCATTTTTACTTTCATAACAGCATAGTTTTACTCATAACAACACGGGTAACAGACCAATGAGGTTCAAGGATTGAGAAGGAAGTAGTAAAATTGTAATGATTCACTTCAACTAATAAGCTGTTAAGGCAAATTTCATTACTGAGTGGTGCAATTAGTGTTTGGTACTATGTTTCGTTGTATCACTGTCAGTGGCAAAGAGAGGATATAAACAAAAACATAATCTAACCTCCCTTAGAATTTATGAGTAGTGAATTTTAGTAATTAAATACTGTCTTAGGTAAATTAGTGTAAGCAACTCGCGTAAATAGTTTTAGTCCCTATAGAACTTAAACATGTCTAAAACATAGAACTAAAACATAATAATACCTTTGACTATTAAATACAACTAGACATTCCATCCCCATGTTAAATTTGTATCCAGTTTTTTTACCAAAATCGTCGTAATTGATGTGAGCTGACAGATTGACTAAATAATTGATTTATGTCGAATGAATGCACAATATTTTTTACCAATTCAAACTACCTATTGTGAGCTATAGCAACTGTTATGACCCATCAACTTGGCCAGCAAAAAAAAAAAAAAAAAAAAGTAGAAAATAGAGTTTTAGTCTCTATCATATCCTGCGCCTGGCTCACACAACTACGTTCTTTTCTAATAAAAAATGGGCTACAGCTGGTCCATATAGATGGGACGTCTACAGGGTTGGTACTGATTTTGGAAAATGAAATTCCCTGACTTTTCCAGGTTTCCCAGACTGATATTATACTTTTTCCAGGAAAAAGTATAATATCAGTCTAATATCAGTCAAGTATAATATCAGTCAAAATATCGAATAGTCAGAATCGAGAATTATTAGAAAAAATGTAGGCCTAAATAGTTTAATCATAAAACCAATAAGAAAAGAATTAAACATCTGGAATCTGGAAAATTAAGAGTACCAACTAACTTAACCTCACACTTTATGTTCTACTTGGCCTTGACTTGACACTAGCAGATAGACGATACGGTGCTTCTGATACTGATATATATATCGATATTTTGCTTGCGATATCATCGGCTTATATCGGAAGAAACATGTGATATAGGAAAAATAACTACCATGCTTGTACCGGAGACAAAAAGTAATACCAAACTAAACTATTAAATGTTTCAACTAACAGGATAAATTTTTTTTTTATAAACTCCTACAAGTGCAGTTTTTTTTAGTTTATTAAAGGTTGAATCAGTATTGAAAGGGTAAAGGTGTTGAACTTTTCAAAGACTATACTCCGGGAAATAAAAGTATTATTAATAAAGAAGGCTTGTCAGAATCTGAGTGGAAAGACAGTATAAAAATGATTGCAAATGTGGTGCCAGTGCGTGTTCTCCACAGCAGAAGTCAGGGCAATAACCGCTGCAGGCATGCCTGTGGTGAGATTGAAACCCCTGCACATGCCCTTGGCTTCTGTCCGTTTGGTGAACTTCTAAGAATCACTAGGCATCACAAAATAAGAAGTATCATAGCAAATGCCTTCCGAAAAAGGTATAACACATGGGAAGTGCAAGAAGAAGTACACTGTCTTTCTTCTAAAGGAAGCACCAGAAGAGTAAATATTTTATTGATAGAAAGAGAAACTAACAAAGGCATAATTCTCGATTTAACAATTCGATTTGAAATAAACATAAATCAACCTAACGAAGTAAATGAAGAAGAGAAAAAAAAATATGATCCTACCTTTGAATATTTCAAGCAAAATTTTAAAATTTGGAAAGTTGAGGTGATTGGATTGTTTATTGGTTCAAGAGGAACATTATCAAAATTTTTTGTGAACTTTTGGAAACAATATGATTTGGACAGATCCTTTTTGAAAATTATTACTCATGAAACATTAAGAGGTTCATTGAGCATAATGAGAAATCATCTATATGGCAAACATCAAAATTAATCAGTCTTATACAATTTTATCTTGTATAATTTTTTCTGTGTCATTGGCAACCTTATTTTTTAAGGCAGATGTATTTATTTTTATAAATAAATTATTTTCTCTTTTTATAAATTCAATGAGGAATTGTATTCAGTATCGTATTGAAATTGAAACGATGAATGTAGGCCTATCCTTCCGCGCATCCCGGTACTAGCAGTGTTTCCATACGTGGGATTATTAACTTATCCCGAAAACTTTTCAGAGCCAGCTTAGCCTTAGGACACATTCCCTTAGGGTGGTGTAATTCACGTATCGCATTTATTCCTAAACCAGGAAGGGATAGTTACACTGATCCTAAGTCATTTAGACCCATTTCTCTATCTTCTTTCTTCCTTAAGATCCTAGAAAAGTTGGTCTCAAGATATATGATGGATACAGCTCTTAGGACACATCCTTTTCATAATAATCAGCATGCGTATGTCTCAGGAAGATCATGCGAGACTGTGTTGCACCAACTTGTAAGCAAGATTGAGAAAGCTCTAGAGAGCAGTGAAGTGGCCCTGGGTGCCTTTCTCGATATTCAAGGTGCTTTTGATAATACTGCTACTCCAGCAATTCTTAATGCGGTGAGAGGAAGAGGTTTTCACGGTATAATATGTAGATGGATTGAATCCTTGCTTCACAGTAGGAAGGTTAGGCTCTCACTCCATAATGACACGATCGAGGCAAGAACTACTCGAGGATGCCCTCGGGGGGGGGGTTCTCTCTCCTCTCCTTTGGAATTTGGTAGCAGACGACCTTATAAGGACACTCAACAAAAGTGGGGTTTTCGCCTTAGGTTATGCTGATGATGTTGCAATCCTTGCGGTTGGAAAGTTCCACGGAACCATAACTGACCTTATGAATAGAGCTTTAAGGGTAGTGGACCGTTGGTACCAGGAAGATGGGCTCTCTATAAATCCCAGGAAAGTTGTAATAGTACCCTTCACAAGAAGGAGGAAACTGGATGGGATCGGCCCACTAAGACTGCAGGGCACTGTAATAGAGCTGCAGAATCAGGTGAAGTATCTTTGTGTAATTTTGGACAGATCACTTCACTGGGGACCACATCTTCAAAAAGTCACTGAGCGTGGCAAATGGTCCCTTATGGCATGCAGGCGGATGGTAAGTGGCACATGGGGGTTACAGCCTAAACTTTTATGCACTGGCTGTATGTATCTGTTGTTCGACCCGCCCTTACATATGGTTCGCTTGTGTGGTGGCCAAAGATGGAATCTACTATAGCTGTCAAAGCTTTAGCAGGAGTTCAGAGGCTTGCTCTTATAATGATAACTGGGGCAGTAAGCAGCTGTCCTGGAGCGGCTCTTGACTGTCTGCTTGATATGCTACCTATCGACATTTACATCAAGGTGGTAGCAAGTAAAACAGCCCAACGCCTTAGATGCGAATACTTATGGATAACCTCAGGAAACAATAAAGGGCACTCCAAAATTGTTCAGGTGGTACATAATGATGAATTGCACTTGCCTTCAGATCACATGTCCAAAAAATACTCCTTTGGAAAGCCTTTCAAAGTACTAATACCAGATAGGAAGGATTGGTCTGGCGGAAAAGGACCCATACCCACAGGTGATTTAGAATGCTATACTGATGTTTCTAAGATCAAAAATGGGGGCACTGGAGCAGGTGTGCATTGGATGAATGGAGGCACTGGCATTTGTCTTCCAATGGGGGTGTACCCAACTGTCTTTCAAGCGGAGGTCACTGCCATTCTAGTTTGTGCTCAAGAACATCTTAACAAAGATATCAGAGACAAAACAATCAATATCTATACTGATAGTCAAGCGACCTTAAAAGCATTAAACTCTTACGAATTCAACTCCAGGCTCGTGTGGGATTGTTTTGCTTCTGTGTCTGAGTTGGGTAGGAGAAATTACCTTACGCTTTGCTGGGTGCCAGGACACTCAGGCATTAAAGGAAATGAAGCTGCAGACAGATTGGCAAATACTGCCTCTGCAACTTCAATGATAGGCCCACAACCCTTCTGTGGCATCTCACGAAACAGTGCATGTTCTGCGATTGCGTCATGGGCCAAGGAAAAGCATCGCAAACGCTGGGTCGATGTTCCCCTTCTTAGGGTCAGCCAGCTTACTCTGTTTAGGCCTTCTAAAAAGGTTGCCTGTGACCTCTTGAGACTAGACAGACGAAGAATTAAATTAATTGTTGAACTGATAACTGGTCATGGAAGATTCAGGAAACATCTACAACGGATGGGCTTATATGATGGTGAACCGATCTGTAGGTACTGTGATAGGTCAGAAGAGACAGCTGATCACTTACTCTTTGATTGTAACAAGCTCTTTGACGCTAGATCGATAACTCTTGGAAATATGGCTAGAGGTAGATACCTTCCTGAGGATGAACTAATTGGGAAGCTACAGGCATTCATTGGGCGCCTTAACTTGTAGGTCAACAAGAAAGCAATTATTGCGCAACCCAAATAATTCGATTTCGGATGAAGTGCTTAAAGGTCTCTTAAAGACCTGCCCCTGTCAGATAAGATAAGATAAGATCCCGATAACAGGATTTTTAGAGCATGAGCGGGATTTGAAGGGGATGTGGGATAAAACAGGAGTTTTGGCTATGACGTCCGTTTTTATTTACTATGCTTTTATTTTAGTGAAAAACTAACCCCAATCGAAAAAATTACCTTAACAAAATATAATAGCAATGTTAAAACAACTATTTAAACGAAATATGTCCAATTCAACACTCAGAATTTAACATCAAAAATCTTAAGGGATTAAACGGGATTTCTTAACCAAGTGACCGGGATTATATTCTTTTGGTCATGTAGAAACACTGGGAGCTCGGTGCGTTCAATTAAGCCAGTAATCAGAGGGTGATGATAGAATGTCTGTCGATGTTCGATGTTTTTTATATCGATGGTAGGTTCCAGATGTTTTTGTTACATCGATGTTTTCGTCAAACTTTGATGTTTTTGACCAAGTATTGAGACCTAGATGCAAAATGTAGCATATCTGTAAAAAATGTAGTCTTTCAAGAGAAATTCCAGATTTTTTCCAAAATTCCCTGACTTTTCCCTGACTTTTCCAGACCAACAAAATTCCCTGACATTTCCAGGTTTTCCAGGTTTTCCCTGACCGTACCAACCCTGCGTCTACTTAAGTACCCAATAGTCAATGCCTATACATAGTTACCGGAATAGACAAAACACATATAAATGTAACATATTATACAACATACACAAATGCGAACTTACTTAATATAATTAGCCTTTTTATCCTCTTTCCAGTCTTTATTCAGCTGATGAACTTTACAGGCAACGTACCGCTGCTCTTTCAGATCAAAAGCCTGAAATAACATTCACATATAATAGATTCAATTTACAACAGACCTTATTTACATTTGAGAAACAAAACAAATAAATAATAAATAATTGTACAGAGAAATGCAAACAATAAAGGATACCATACATTAGTTCTTGTTGGTTTAAAAGAGTATGTTTTGTAAATTTTTGTATTCCTCTAAATGTTTGAAAACACTTCTTATAAAAAGGATACACTTAATTTAAACTACAAAAGGTTAACACTGTTCTTTATATACTCAGTCAATGAAAATCGAGAATGAGTGGGTACCAGATGTAGCACCCCAACAGACTTTAAATTTAAGGATTAGCTTGTCGGGCTGGAAAAGGTCAAGTAACTTACCTAATTCAGTTATAGAGTAATAAAATACATTCACTACAAGAAGACATGTGAGATGCAAGGTTATTTCCTGTCACAGAAATTAAGCTATAAGAATTAGATGTTGACTCAATTGATTATTTTTATTTGTGATGGATTCATAATGGAAAATGTTATGTTTGTCGTTTGTAGTTTGGCCATACTCTGGTTTCAATGACATATTTAAAAGATTTGATGATAGAACATCAACATACCCTCAATTAGATTTGACAACTGAGAGATTTTATGATAATGTTTGTTTATTTACTGTGTTGTACCTTGTGGACCTCGCTGAAGCCGCCCTTGCCCAGCAGCATGAGCAGCAGGTACCGGTCGTTGAGGACTGGGTGGTTGTTGAACCTTGACTGGTCCTCGTTGTGGATCCTCTTCAGCTCTCTGATGTGGAGATTTCGTTCCCTCTCAAGCTTTTCCATCTCCAGCTGTAGGTCTGCGTCTTCCTTCTTCAGTGCCGACTGTCGCAGCTGTTAAAAATACATCATATATTAAAGGTCAAACATATCAGTGAATAAGCAAGTAAACTAAAGTGGACCTCCTAAAACTGAAAACCATTAGATTGAAAAATGGCTTTGAAAAATCATAAAAACTCAAATCAATTAAATATTAGCCCGGCAACAGGAATTGTCATCTGCTGTAGAGGTTAAGTTTAGAAAACAAGTGCCTCCGTAGAAACCAGGATACAGTGGGCCACAGTTTTAGATAAGAGATACCCTTCTACGAAACACCTTAAATTGTCTGTCTAGTTACTAGAATTCAAGATAAAAAATTAAAGTAGTAGGTTAAAGAATAATTTTTTTTCATAAATTAATTATTATTTCTATAAGCTAAATTGAAAAAAAATCTTTACTTTAGTTTTTTATCTATACTTAATAATTACGACATTTACCTTGAGTATTTCATCGGCCTCGTAGTACTCCTGGGCAGAGAAGCCTGGGAGAGCGTCAGGTTTGAGGAAGGTGGCGTTGTCGGTGCCGTTGTGTAACGCCGTTACAGCCCCAGCCGCTCCTTGCGCTGCCCCCACGCCCCGATCACCCTGACTACCTGCTCGTTTCCGTCCAGTCTCTGAATTACTCGGTCTCTTTTTCATCAGCAGTTTTTTCTGTCTGTCTATTTCTTCCCTCTCCGCTGTTATTTCTTCCTGCCGCCTGTAGAAAAATTATGGGTTGAATTTCACAGCCACAAGTCAGGAAAACAAGATTTTTAAATAGAACAAATATTTCAACAACAAACCTTTACAATAAACAAATAAACCGCCAATTTCTCTATCAAATATTGCACTTGAAGTGGTACTGTATGATCAAAGACAGTGGCAATGTTTTTCCTTGTCTCTAATACCATAGACAAATAGAATAATTATAGACCGTCAGCTGTGCTGCGGTTAGCAGAAGTTTTGGCGTCCACCGTTAGGTTTGCCGTGTAGTTACGGCGCACACCGCTGCAGCGTCTGCTGGTCGCATACGGCTCCTGCGACCAGCAGACGCTGCAGCGGTGTGCGCCGTAACTACACGGCAAACCCAAGCGGTGGGTGCCAGAACCTTCCTTTGACTGTCTATATTTATTCTATTTGTCTATGCTAATACTGATAAGATACAAGGTGTTCACAATGGATAAAAATTAATCAAATGTAAACACAAAGAACTTTAATGCAAATTATCATGTTTGATTTGCTGGTTTGGTCAATCAATATTTAGGGGAAAAATAAACATGGTTTCACAATCACTGAGAATTGACGACTTGAACAGTTTTAGTAGAGTTAAATGTTGAAAAAACATGATCAGTTGTGAAAGATTCGCTTCCCGAGTAGATCACAGATCTAGGAACAACCACAGTTGCTCTACCTGACCTCAGACGCTCTACCTGACCTCAGACTCGGCCTACTGTATTGTCATCATCTCATGTTCAACAAAGAGATAATAAGGTAGCACCACGCAAGTCATGGTTTGCAGTCAATGTGTTAAAAAGAATTATAAGGGTGCTTTTTTAAACTATAAAAATGCCATAGTTTATTTTCCTTTTAACTTTTCATCTTCTGTGGTATTTATAATATATATTTATAGTTGCTATCAGGTACCTGTATGTTTCTTCACAGCAACTAAATAAATTATAGAATCATAGTTTTAGTGATAAACTTGAACAATTTTTTTTTACCAAAATAATAAGTATGAATAGATGTCAAATTAGTAAAAAATTTTAAAAAAATGTCATGTTTTGATGAGTATGTCGCTGAGGATGATGAAGGAAATGGAGGCTGATAGTGAAGCCAATTTTCTTAATGTATGAAGAAATGTTAATGTTAATGTTAATGTGTGAAGCCAATTAATGTATTATTACGGACAGAAAGGTTTTGGGTGAATGTTTACTAAAGTCAACACAAGGAAGCTAGTGTAGAATATGGGACACAAAACCACATGCCATGTCAAGACGCTCGCAGAATCTGGGGAATCCTCAAAAGAGCATTTAATCAACACTTAATTGTCATGGCATTTGGTTTTGTCAAATTTCTTGTCCTTTCCATATACAACAAATGCTCATCTGCAAATGCTATCTGTTGGCATAGCTAGATGCGCTTGGGCTACAATAGGCAAGAAAGGAGAGGGACACTGATTTTCTGATTATATAACATTCTGATTATATGCGATGAGTAATCAATCAAGTATTGTTTGGCTGACTCCATGTGCATACCCAAGAGAGATTTTCCAGTTTTCTTTACTTGTCCCCTTCAGTGTATACCTAGCCCCAGAATCCGTCTGTGTTGGATCCCTTGTTTCTATGTAATGTCCATTCCCTTCCAATCTAGTGTGGCGGAAACTTTAATTTGACTTACCTAGAGAGCTCCTGGAATGCATATCCGTCTGTCCAGTTCTCCTGGAAGGTGGCGCCTACCCTCTGAGTCACAAACTGACCTAACCTCAGTCTGTTCTGCATACACCTCTGTCTCGCCTCTTTCTTTTCTATGTTGGACTTCTCTTTGAGCAGTTTCTTAACAACGTCGATGCACTTATTCGTGTGCGCTTTGTGTTGTTCTAACAGCTTTTGTTGGGCTGCCAATTGGTGCCTTAATTCTTCAGCGGACTAAAATAAGATTTCATAATAATTAACAGATGAATAATAATTCTAACCTTAACATTTAACATGTTCTCCTCCAGGTAACTAAATTCCCTAATTTGTATACTAGAATAAGATAGTAAATGTGTTACCACATAATTCTTAATCCACGGGTTAACTTTGATTTATTTGATAATTCGTCCACCTTTAAAGTACAAATACCTTACACATAAAATAAACAATAAACACTATTTTAACCTTCCATCGGGCGCATTGATTATCAAACACCAAAGGGCGCTCACGGAAGTTACCTCCGGGAGTACAAAAACTATGCAATGATGAGTAAAAAACATTTTAATAGCAATAAAACTGTAAGAAAAACATTTTTTATGAGTTAATACACTATTACTTAAGTCGAATATAAAATAGAAAATGTTATAAAAACAAATAAAAATACGTAAGTGTTGTGGATGAAAAAGATTTACTTTTTGTACTTACAACTTTTTCTAATATACAGCACTATCGTATATTAGAAAACAAATTTGAATATTATATGACATAAAAACACGTACATGGTCTAATAAAAATAATAATTTTGTACAAGAATAACTCATTCAAAGCTCTTAGACAAAAATTGCAATGGTGTTTGAAATAAAACACCTATTGTCTAATGCAAAAAACCATTTGTTAGAAAGACCACACATTTTGTTCAAGCTCTTTTTCTTGAAAAAACAGGTTTCCGAACTCATGCACCATTAGTTCTTTCTTCTAAATGCTGTTCCTTGTCCTCCCTTTCAACACTAGCCAACAATCTCGCAATTAGTTCTTCTTCCATCTTATAATATCGCTAAATAAAGTCAAACACAAGGGCGCACACGGAGCTAGGCTCCGGGAAACTCGTTGCATCACAGGGCGCTCACGGAAGCTACTTCCAGTAGCTACGCAAGCCACTCCCCAAGGTCGACTGACAACTGGGAAAGGGGTAAGAGTAGTCAAAACCACTTCCGCAAAAGAGGTTCGTGAGGTAAATGAGGCCACAGCCCTGCCAAACACATACTATGGTTTTTAACGAAAACAGTAGTGACCCGGAGGTAACTTCCGTGATGTGCCCGATGGAAGGTTAAAATACAATAAATTCGTAGAAACCCTTTAAATTTAGCCTACATGGTAGATCAGTCGATTTAAAAATAAATAGTTAAATACAAATGAAAATGTTTAATCTGTGTAACTTGGGACTACAAAGAATAAATTAACTTAGAATAGTCTCAACTTACCCTATTGAGCTCTTCTATTTTATTATTTCTCAGTTCTAAGTCAGACGATGCTTGCGTTTCAAACTCCTGTATACTTTGGCAAGTTAGGTCAGTCTGAACCTGTTTACTGACGAGGTTGGGGTGAGGTGCGCCTGGTAGCCTGGGCTGAGGAGGCTGCATCAGCGCAGAGTAGTCTTGCGCCTGCACCTGAGATACCACAGGCACCTGCGCACTGGGCAGCATGGTGGCCCCCGGCGATGGAGGATACTGCAATACAATCAAATCATTCAACACTAGTCCGCTACGGATTAGTTAGATCCCGAAACCAGTTAGGATAAAAATTAGGGCTGTTGTACTTATTTATCTATTCAGTAGAACTCCGGTTAACCGAAATGACGGAGGGAGAGCCGTTTCGGATAACCAATTTTTCGATTAAGCTGTCATCTATATATATAATTCCGTAAGTCAAATTTTTGTAAAGAAATTGTGAGTGACTGGATGGCCGTAGAAGGATGGGAGGGGTCTTATTTTAAAGGTCTTGACGTGAATTTTGAGGGAAAACTATTCATTTTTCTTATTTTTTTACCATAAATTCGCAACAGAATAAAACTTTTCCCATTAAAACAACATGGGGTTTAATTTGTTTACATCTTTTGAAATTAAAACAGCTGTGCCACAGATTTGAAAACAGTGATCAATACACGCATTTGGTTTACTTTTAGCCAGTCAACTATGCAACTATGAAATGTATATACTATTATAATAAAACTGAAATATTGAAGATTAGTCGGAAAATTCTTTGTTTATATTTAAATCATATACTCAAGTTTCATTTTTTCATGCTTTTACGTTATTGTCGTGTTAAAGGAATAAACGACATAGAATAAATATTCTGTATAAGTAATCAAAGAGTCGAAATTAAATCTAACTTCTGTTTTGTTTTTATTTTTAAATCATATGTTCAAGTTTATTTTAAATTATGTTGTTTTCTTTATATTTCTACACATTTTAAGGTTAAGGTTGTGTAAATATAAACAACTAATTCTAAAATGGTGTATTTGCATTCCTTCGTAAGTAAATTTTTTTAGTGCAGTGAATATACAACGTAGAGTAATCATATTCGATCATACAGTACTTTTATAAAATCACCAGGGATTCAAGATGTTTTGGTATGTAGGCCGCTGGATATATATTCTTTTCATTATAAGTACTGTAATTAATATGAACGCCAGGGGAATACCACAAAGGCGGGGAACTGTTCATAGGAATGACAGTGCGCGTAGGAGAGCAAGAGTAGATAATGACGAACTTAATCAAGATATGTTACAACCCCTTTTTAGGAGACCCATGGTAGACGAGAGAAATGTAAAGATCCATGATGCAGGATTACTGGACCAAGAGTGCATTCAATGTAGTGCTCTTCATTTTAGAGAAGAACTAACGAATAATCATTTTATGACATGTTGCCATAACGGACTTATTAACCTTCCTCAGTCAAAAACTAATGTAGAACTTAAAAGTTTGTTTGAAGAGAGCCCACAACTGTATAAATTCATTCGACAATGCAACAGTGCGATGGCTTTTGCTTATTTTTCAGCCAGTAAGAAAGATATTCCAGGAAAAGGACCATACTGTTTCAAAATTCAAGGACAGATTTATCGTTCAATCTCAGATTTGCTGCCTCAACATGATGAAGACCCCGTGTATGGCCAATTGTACATTATTGACACATCAACAGCAACAGAAATTCGTCAAAGGCGTCGAGAAAATAGTGACTTAAAACCTGAAATATTGTCAAAACTAGCTGAAATTCTATTAGAAAATCCATTTGCACAAATTTACAAAAGAGCTTCGGAAGAAATGGTTGTACAAGGTGACAGTGAATTAGAACTTAGGTTTGTAGACAGGATAAATAAAAATCGTCGTAGGTATAATAAGCCTACTGCAGATGAAATTGCAGGCGTCTTCAATTCATCCGAAGGCGAACCTCCAATGAATTTTTAAAATTCCAAACAGGGAAGCTTTTATTTATCCTCATTAACCACAAGACCAAAGCTACCTTAGTAAACCAGTATTTATTCACAAACAATGATATGTTTGCTGCCTTTTCATGTTAAACCACTGGAGTGATTCAAATTATTTATTGAAAATTACATCAACAAAAGCAAACAAAGAAGAACAACAAACTGGTTTTTACACAAAAGATATGGTGTAGGGATGCCTATTCTGACACATAGATTTAATGTTATTCTGAGTTTGTTTAAATACCGGTATTGCAAAAAGTTGTTTTACATTTGAGCTTTTTAGGGACTTATGTCCCTACAAGCCACTAGTATGTTAAAATTGCCAATGTATTACTACGGTGTGTATGAAAAATGAATTTAAAACAATTGTCTATATAATACAGTGTTGTATTTCAGCTACAGAAATTTTACAATAGGTTAGGCAATATTTTGAACTAAAAAACTGAAATCATCATAAAGCATTTTACATCATGTATTACTTATATTTTAGCCCTGTTATTTTATGGAACCCTTTCGGTTAACCCGGGTTTCGCTTAAAACCCGAATTTGGTTAACCAGGGTTCTACTGTAGTTACAGCTAAAACTTCATTTAGTAAACTAAAATTTACAGTTGAAGAGTACTTCTGTTTAGTTTGGCCTGAGGTGGATTCCTGTGATGACCAGAAAACCGAGTGTACTAAGAAAGTCCTGAGTTATCTCTATTCATTAATAAGTATATGAATGGGGTCAATGTATTTCATTCGTACAACTTGTAAAATTAACAGTTACCAACCCAACAATTTATTACTGAAAACTTAAAAAAGTAAATTAGTAATTCATAAACCTTGTAATAGAGTACAAAGTGAAAAGAAACCCAATGAAACTCAAACCGAATTAACAAATTATGCAGTTTCCAAGAAGTAGATTTCAGATGCACAATCAGGTTTTGTCTACAATAAATACAAGACATTATAAGAATCAAGAGTAGAGACATTTGAGATAATGGTAAGCTAGTTTCTAGTCCCCACAATGTGCAGCTATATTTAGCTCTTGTCTAAGCCCTGAGGAGGGTGCTATGATATACTTAACTGTGACTAATGCTCCTCACACACTAACACACTCTATCTTCATCTTTGTCAAAGAAATGCAGCAGTGTTAAACCCCATTTTTTATAATTTACCTATCTGATTAATAATTGGTACCGTACCTAATACCTAACAATTAAAAAAAGTGATGTTTGTTTGAAATTCAAAACCCAATCTATTTGTTTAGGGAAAAAATTAGATGCTGTACTATGAAGTGGTTAAACTTAAGCAGAGTTAGCTATAGTTTCTGGAGAGCCAATTCTTTAAAAAGAGACAGCAAAGGTAAAAAATATTCCTGAGGTACTCTAATACTTTGGGCAACTTTTTGTCAGCTTGGAATCATAATACTACACCTTTATGATTATATGAATATATTTGTTTTATAGTTTAAGCTTCCTAAGCAACAACCTTAATATTCACTTTTAATAGATGTGGGGCAAAGCTTGTCATGAAATAGATTTGTTAATTTTAATACTAACCCGCCCTTTGAAGTGATGTAAAAGATTTTTATTTTTTTTTCAACCGCAAGTGTCAAAGTAAAATTTCATTCCTCAAGACCGAATCATGTAATTTCACTGCATTTCCATCTAGTCTGAACAATTTGGTAATCTAAAGAGGGGCCAATCCTTACTAGTTAGGATTAGTGGGACTCTGAACGTACTAGTCATTTGATTTAGGATTAGGACTATGCCTTACCATGGGGTATCCCTGTTGTCCCGGTGATGGACTCTTGGCACCTCCGTGCCGGATGGGACTGTTGCCCGTGTGTTTGACGAAGTAGTCGTTGATCTTCTTGGTGTCGATGGACCTGGGTCCGCCCTTGCCACCACTACCAAGAGCGCTTGCTCCGTCGTCGCCTCCCTTCCGCTTCCTCTTCCTGTCTGACGTTGGCCGCGCCAGCTTCTCTGGAGTCCCGCAGTCTTGCTCCTTATCACTAGAACCTGCAAAGATAGGGTTAGTTTATTGATGCTAGAATGATTCAAAGGGGTTTTAAGTACATGGGGAAAAAACAGATATCTGGAGAATTTCACTTTTTCCAGCTCAGTCTAGTGCCACCTCCAAATAACAAACCTCAAGTAGTAAAACCAAGAACTCGTTATATTCAAGTATTTTGTAACAATACATGGTTTAGGAAATCTAAAAATTTGCCACATTGAGGTTCACTGTTTATAGACCTCAATTACATTTGACCTGGTAAATTTGAATCAAAGTAGTAATTTGGACAGTATTTTCCAGCTCAGTCTAGTGCCACCTCCAAATAACAAATCTCAAGTAGTAAAACCAAGAACTCGTTATATTCAAGTATTTTGTAACAATACATGGGGTTTAGGAAATCTAAAAATTTGCCACATTGAGGTTCACTGTTTTCAAATCAAATCAAATCAAATCAAAATCCTTTATTTCGTATAAAATAGACAATATTTATAAAATGTAATATATGCAATAGAAATAGGTTTTAAAATGTATAACTAAAAATAAACAAAATTAATCCCACATGGGATAACCCGTGCGTGGGAGTGAGTCGTATGATGTTTGATTAGAAAGAATTGAGAAGGTTTGATAACAAAAAACAGGTACTTCTAATAATTCAGAACCTCAATTTCAGACCTCAATTACATTTGACCTGGTAAATTTGAATCAAAGTAGTAATTTGGACAGTATTTTAAATATCACATCAATATCAACGGCCTTAATCACTTAAATCCATCCACCACTCATCGTAAACGCATCTCCATTCTTATTTGGCTTAAAAGACATAGTTTTTTGACTGTCGCTACATGTGTTGCGGCTGACCGATCGCTCACGCGACAGCGACACTTTTTTGTCGCGCAAACTCAAATCCGGTGGAGGGGGAATTAAAGAACTCAGTCAGTTCTCAATCTAATGTTACAGAATTGGGTCAACCCTCTTAAAAATGTCATTACATAATAAAATGATGTAAATTTATATTACAAATAAAGGGTAAAGAACTCATTTAAATACAAATTGTTAACATTAATCACTATAAATATATGGAGAATATACCACGCGGAGTATGAAAAATACTACTGTCGCGCCGCGACTGTCGCGGTGCATAAACGTGCCCAATTGATCCAATAGAACTTGAACCGCGCGCGACACATTTTTTGAAGCTGCGATTATAAAACCTGTCGCGGGTATTTAGAGATCTTCGAGTCGCTCACGTGGCAGTTTGTCGCTGTCGCGGTGCATAAATGCTCCCATTTAACTCAATAGAACTTGAGTCACGCCACGCGACTGTCGCGGTGCATAAATGCTCCCATTTAACTCAATGGAACTTGAGTCACGCCACGCGACTGTCGCGGTGCATAAAACCGGCCTGAGGCCGTTTCACTTCAACTTGGAGATATTTTTAACAAAACTAATTTTGCTTAGAGGAAGAATAAATGTGTCAATGTGCTTACCACATAGGTAACAATAGGTAATATAGGTTCGACAAAATAAGTAAATAGGCTAACAAAAATATTTCAAGACATTTGTTTAAATAAACATCTCTGCAAAGATTCATGAATCAGTTGGTATACCTGATCTTCTCCAGTCACTGTCAACGAAGCACATAAAAACCACCAAGAGGCATTCAAACATCGGTAAGCAAATAAGTATTTTAGCTAGTATTTCGAAATTATCCACAACTCACTAAAAACTCGACAATAATCACTTTCAAAGAGGAATTATTCAAGGAAATCGTAGAAAATTATTTCCGAGTACAATCTCTATACTATTGCACTAGCACGTCAATTAATGTGAGTAAAAGAGTGGGACATGAAGGGCTAACACAACCAGTGTGCGACAGGTCAGTGCAAAAACCGGTTCTTGGAGGAGGGAACAACAATAGATGGTGACCCCCTCTATGCTAGTGGACCTACATGTACTGCAACATACACTAGCACTAGACGTCACGTTCCCGTGTGGAAGTTATCACCAGTGAAACAAAAAGTAGTACAATTAATTGAACCACAACCAACATAGTAGGCCTACTGCTCATTTAATTAATGGGCTTTACGCCATCGTGAACGCACTTTAAGGTCGGCCTAATGTAAACTGCATCTCTTATTCAGTACTATTACATAAATCTCAAGAAAATCACACCGCATCATAATACGTAAAATAGTTCCAATTATTCACTTACTGAATTGAATTAAGAATCCAACTTTACTTTTTTAGCTCAATTCGCGAGTATAGCCTAAACTGCATCTCTTATTCAGTACTATAACATAAATCTCAAGAAACCCACACCGCATCATAATACGTCAAATAGTTCCAATTATTCACTTACTGAATTGAATTAAGAATCCAACTTTACTTTTTTAGCTCAATTCGCGAGTATAGTAATTGACTATTATAGGTATATATAGTCAATGGTATAGCCTAAAATTCATAAGTAAAATTAGGTTCAACACGTGTAGCCGAGAAATGTAAAATCAGGGACATCCATAACAAAAGGTGTTAAATTTGAGAGAACAATGAGAAATGGGAACAGCTTGCAAAGGCAAACAATGCGTGGGATTATCTTATCAGCCTTATCAGTCCATCCTCTCACGACGAATATTGCGCTCCGTCTTCTCAAACCCTGCTTATAGTCTCAGTTACAGAAACTTCAGGAGGGCATTGCATTTGATATGTAGATCTTAATTTTAAAATATTTAGTCATAAAGGAAAGACGAATATTGAATATCTTTTGTAGCCTGACGAAATTCCATTCAAACTACCTAATAATTAAATATTTTATGTTTAGTCACCTAATACAAATTCTACAAGAGAAAGTAGAGGGTTGAAATAAACTTACAAATCTTTGATGTCTTGCGAAGTGCTATCCCCTTAGTAACGGTCATTATAACTTATAAGGGCATATATTGCCACGCCAAAATGCCGTTTACCGTAAATTTAAATATCGCAAAAACTCATAAATTAGTAGGAATTAACCTAACTTTTAAGATTTACCAAAATAATTTGTTTGTATACAATTTAGTAAATTTAATTAAACATAATTTTACAGCTGATTAATTATTAAAACTATTGTCAATAACAAAAGAGCAATAACAAATATTTTAATATTTTTTTTATTTTTATATGATTCTTAATTAGGCAATTTTGTGTAGCGCAGAAAAAAGCATTGTAAAAGATAAGCATAATAATATGAAATGACGATTTTTCCCATAATTTTTAATTAAATGTAATTATTTATCGATTAACCATTCATATAACTATTAGCAAATAGAAACAAAAACCTAAAAAAGTCAACATGCAGTACGGCTACGTTGTCACAGTACTGTAGGCCTATATTTACAAGTACAGTATTTATACATTAAACGAAATTCACCATCAACTACCACAGAAAACATACTACTATAAAGTATGTTTTCTGTGTTACTACCAATGAATCTTTGCGACTATATGCCGTAAACCTAGTGTGTGTAGGCCTGCAATGTACATTCGCAATACAGTACCAAGAAGAGCAGTAAAATGGCATCAAATAGTTTTTGACGACTTTGTATAACAGACGATCTATATGGATTACAAATCAATAACGTAGCGTGTTTCATCAAATAAGTACTGAACTGTGAACTAGTAATCAATGCACCATTGAATTGGTGGACGTTATATAGTAACATGACAACGGTTTGGAAAGTTTCCTTAACAAAAAGCCAATATAAAAAGCCAATATAAAAAGCAGGGGTTGATAAAACTGAAATACAGTATACTATTATAGTAGTATAGTATTCTACAGGGTTATTTTTTTTACACGCAACCCAAACATTACAACTAGCATGGGGCACTCGTCAGTGACAAAATCAATAGAGGATGTATTGTAGGTATAAGCTTTTTGCTTTCCTATACTTATCAATTTTGTGAAAAGTTGATGTTTAGGCCTACTGTATTTACTGGAATCATACCTAATTTAAAACATTTCTTGACAAATAACTAATGGTTTACTTTTAATGGAAACACACTTTTATTAATATACTTCAAGTCTGATTCACAATACATTTTCCAATAACACTAGAGCCTAATACAGTAAAAATTAGACCCGAAGATAACTATTGCAACAACTGAAGTAACTATTGGCACTGAAGTAGAAAAAACTGTATAAATTGTGAGATTTTTGTCGTATTAGTAGTTTATTTAACCAGTTTCACATAAATGCATTTGGTTACGTCATTTAGAGTAGCCTTACGTTATTGTAATTTGGGTTGCTTGCCCTGTATGTTTACTCTATTCTACTGACCTGTACTCATATTAGAGTCCTGGCTATGAACAGACTGGCCTGTGCTGAGGCCTGATTGTGGTGCCATTTGTATTTGGGAGCCAGCGGACATCTGTAACAAACACATCACATTGGTACAATTACAGCAGTAGTAAACATCACACACATCACAGATACACACAGACTATACAACGTCTTGCCACAGAAAACTCGCACGCCAATGGCGATTCCAACCATGGTTTCAACTAGAGTTGACAACAGTAAACGCTACTGGATGTACGACGTTTAGAACTTGTACATTTTTCGTTGAACGATAGGGACAGGATGTAAGTAAAATACAGCATGATCCTATAAGGTAGGATTTTTAGACTGATTTGATGTATGTGAGTTTTAAAGCAAAAGTTTGATTTTACCTTGAAGATTGCGAAATATCCAAGGCGACCCTAGGCATAGACCGGTCTTATCGTTGGCATAGACAAAGTCAACATAGGGAAATTCGCCTGATGAGATTTCACGTCCCAACTATACTTCAGAGGTTAAATTTCGATTGTACATTTCACAATGATGTTACATGTTAATGACTATTTGCCTAGTTAGTAGAAGGTCATCATTAGCCGAAAGAGAATTACAAAATAACTCTATATATTCATATTCATTATATGGTTTTACACACCCGAATAAGAGACTGATCGATTTGCATACTTAAATTACAGCTCTTTGTCTATTAATGGAACATTTCTCTGAAAAACGTAGAAGTGACTACAAACATCAAAATATTTTATACCCAAAAATGCTAATATATTGTTATTAAATTTATACGAAAAATGTTAACAATTCATTAGTTAATGTTCTGGTTTCTATTCTACAGCTTTAAGAAATCCAAGAGTCCTTCATGTCTCTTCCTGGCATGTGTGTTAACTTATAGTACATAGATACATATACGAACTGAAGAATAGGTTTACATCATAAATGCAGTTAATAGTGTTGTAATCCTTGACATATTTAGTTTCCCTTTTTACATAGAATGTCATGGTACAGTACTAAGTATCAAAAACTGACAAATTTCAACTAAGTTTTTTAGTTTAAAACTAAGTACCGTGTTTGTTACTTGATGATGTCTCAGGTCTGGTGACTTGGTAGGGGAACGATCCAAAACCCGATATTATCATACCGTCGGAAGTTATTTGGAAAGTATTACTAATCGATGATTTTTTAGCCTTCTGGAAAGCACCTCTACAGTATCTACGTTGCCTGAACAAAAGAAATTAATAGTATAAACGTTGATTGGAAACAAAAGAAATAAAAGAGCCTAATTTAACCTAGTTTAGATACGATTGAAACATCGCAAAATGTTTTATTTAATATGTTCCTTAACAAAAGTGTAAGAATATTTGATCAAAACTTACAATTCCCCACAAGTTTTCAAAGAGTGGAAAGAAACATATATCAATTAATGCATTGAACACCTTATTTAAGTGCGCTAGCACAAAAATAATAGTGAAACCCTTAGAAATACGAATAATAATAGCATACCGAGCGAAGATTGTAGTGAAAATTTTGTATTGGAGTGCTGACATGCTAACAAATTCAAGTAGCCTACACACACATGTTATAGCAATTTCATCTCGTACTCAGGAATGTTCTTATACAAATGTGATTTTATTTCCAACGTCCTCCTCCACACAAACTGTTGGAAATGTAATCGTGTTGGAGTGGAGACTTCAGTGTATATGGAAGGTGACATATATCAGGTGTGACCAGGATGGCCAACTTTCCCTTCATAAATGTCCCTGTTTCTACCCACCCGTCTCCATGTCGGCATTCCGAACAATTGTCCTTGTAATTTCGCGTATCTATTCCACAGCACAGGCTGGGCTTGTCCTTTCACATCTTGGGAGAGAAAGTGCCTCCACTGATACAGTAGTACGATCTCAACTAAGATTAAGAAACACATGGTCACTTATTAGCTAACTATTTGGATCGATTAACAAGTAAAGTAATAATATAATAATACAATCATATATTTTCAAAATTATTTGTCCATATTGAAAAAGAAATGATTCTTGATGGCGAAAGAAATGGCTGACTGTTTTACGTATACAATGGGGAGGGGAGGGTCTTTGAAAGATAATCCTAACACTTCCACAATTTTGTTATACAGTATTCATTTCCCCTGTATTTATAAGTGGATAGCAAATGTAAAACAAACACTGTGCTGTGCCTAAAATAGTATGTTTTTTCTCTAAGAAACACATGGTCACTAGTTCTAGCAACTGTTTACATCAGTAGGTAACAAGTTAGAAACTATACACTTACAGGTCTTCACAATTTTTCATTTGAACAAAAACTGGCTCTAGATGTGCAAAAGAAACGGCAATAATATGCAGTTTCTTTAAGCTGTAAGTATGGCAAAAGCTTGATTATAAAGGTAATAAACAATATAATAATGTATCTAGTATAAATACAACGTTTTTTTATAACAAATTTTTACATGCGATTTTCTGAATACAAAACTTACCTAACTGCTATATGTAGTACAGTATGCAAAATTATAACGCTAATACAAGATCGAAAATAAATCTCTTGAAAGAAAAGATTTCTATAATCAGAGATAAGAGGTCGACCTCCGCTCAAGGTCACATGTTATCAGCTGATGAGTAACCAAAAAAAGTTACGAGGCATAAAAAGTGGGTAAGCTAACTTCACAATTAAATAATTTCCAGCGGGCACCATTTTCTGACGAAATATGCTTTTATCTATATATCAATCGTCAGTTCTTCGTTATTTCTCGATAGTTCCCCAATATTTTCGTTAGTTCTTAAAAAATAAAAACGTTTTAAGGCATTCAACGTCGGTACGCTAACTTCACACCTATGCCGCGTAACAATATTGGAGAACTAACGTTTGGTAAATAGGTGTAACAGTTTTTTATGAGAATACAGTGCGCGCTAGAAACCGGAAGCGTGAAGTTAGCGTACCCACTTATTATCCGCTTTAACTTTTTCATTGTTTTAGAACTAACGAAAATATCTGGAACTATCGAGAACTAACGAACATAAGTGGATACGCTAATATGGGTACACGCCAACTACGATAGACCTATCGATTTTGTCGGCGTTTTTAAATGTATCTTTTATATCCCTGTTATTTGAAATACTCTCTTTCCTTCTCGATACTAAATACGAAATATGGTTCAAAATATATAATCACAGATTACCTTAAACCTATTAATTTTGTTACTGTTAGCAATGATTTTTTTGTTTAAAGTATGTCTAACGATCACAAACTAGAATGATTTTACATTAGTCTAAACAACCTTAGGGACATTCATTGAGTCTTGATTATTCAATTAATGGAGAAAACCATTGAAACTAAAAAAGTTCTGGGATTTCCCCACGTGATTTAACCATGTGAGTGAATAAACGCCTTTAATTTTTCCAATGGAAAAAACCATAACAAAATGCCACAAGCCAGTAAGCAGGTAATTTTAGCGGCAAGCAGTTGGCAACATCCGTCCGCAATGCACACTGCACGCGACCAGACGGGACATTAGCGCCGCAAGGTTGGCAGCGGGTCCAAGACGTCTTGTGAATCATAGTACGGCGCGAACTCGGCCTTGGTGGCTGTACTCAATAAGCCTCTCTCCCCCCTCCAGCTGACTATAGCGTGGAACTGCGCATCTATAAAGGACGCGTTGCAGAAAGTCAACAGTCCCGGAAGGTCAAATAATTTATACCTGTGCCGCTAGGTCAAAAACTACAATGTTTGCAGTGTCTGTAGATCAAAAATCCCAGAAAGTCAAATAGTACAGTCCGGGCTAAAAGTTTAGTCTATGTTAAAGCAATTGACTTATTGGGAATTTGACTTAATGCAACAGCAGTTTTAATATAACGAAATAAGATAAAATATAAGTTCAGTTTCGCTGAGTCAACAGTGCCGGAAGGTCAAAAGTATAATCTGTTAAAAACAACGATAGTCCTCTCGACGCATGTCTTCAATAATTTCGTGTTTTGGTGTTCTTAAAGTTGTGCTAAAATTTTGAAATTTGGCACAGAGCTTCTTGGTTAGTCCTACTCGATGACTATTTTGTTGGAACATTAAACTATTTACCGATCTAATTAATAAAAAATTATTTGTACGGTGAAGTAGTTTTAAATCTTGATTTCTAACATGAAAAAGTTAGCATGCGAGATTTTTTTTGTTTTTGGGTTAGAGAGGTTTTGTCTGTGGCAAAGTTGTAGCCAAAAGTGTGATGCGTAAAATATATTTTTTTGAATTTTTTACAATCAGTGGTTCAGTAGATAACTTGGGTTGAAGAGGACGGCAAATTTAGCATTTCGCAACGCATGGAAAGAACTACATCGTACGATGCGACTGCTGAGTGGACTTTTAATTTATCTAATTTAATTTATCTAAGGACAAGAAAAAGGTGAATATACAGATCACCAGTACATTCATATTATTTATAAAACATCTTTCTTTATTACCAGCTTACATTTTTCTCTTATAAGAATACATCATAAACAGGGTGTTAAAATAAGCGGGGAGATACTTTACCTAGTAATTCCTTGGGTCAAAATAAACAGAAAATCAAGGATAACATTTTTTCCAAAATCATTTCGTTAACCAGATATCCGCCATTTTGTATTTTTTACATACAAATATTTATCTTTGCACTTTTCCAACCGATGTTTATCAAACTTGGTATGTATGTTAAGGTAGGAGAGACCCATGTTATAAACAAAGATTCATCTCGATTCACCCTAAAATTTCAAAATTTAACACTTAACTACAATATAATATACTCTACTACACCACAATATTTACGTATCACCATAAATCTTTAACAAAATAAAACGTTAAAATTTTTAAAATCCAAAGTAAATCAATATAATATTTCTTTTTTGAAAAATATATTTAAAAAACAGGCGATGGTAAAATAACGACAGGCGAGTTTCGATCTGGGTGTTTCAGGTTTGAATCTAGGAGGATTTAACATTAATTAACATTAATGTTTAATCCTCCTAGGTTTGAACTGATTGAGAGGAATAGATGAAACCGAAGGGGGGAGGTAGCAACAAGTGTACTAGTATTTACTAGTGTCCAATTACA